GGCCGCGGTCCCCAGGACAAGGGTGGAAAGAGACGTTTCGAGAACACCGACTTGGAGCCTTTGAAGAAGATGGCGGCCAAGTACAAGGAGGAGATCGAGAAGCTTCCCAAGTCTGGCCGGCGCAGCGCTGCCGAGGAGTCTCTTCAGATCGAGATCCACGGTCTTGAACCCCGTCTGGCGGCTGCCAAGGCTGAGTTGGCGCACTTGGAAAAGAACTACAACTCAAAGAAGAGGGAGAGGGACAACGAGGAAAGGCAGCTTGACGAGCTCAAACCCAAGTACGAAGAGAAGACTTCGGAACTTGAAGCAACAAAACGGACGGTCAAGGAATTCTCGGATGCCATCGCACAAGTGGAGGACGAGGTGTTCTCTGGCTTCTGCAGGAGGCTCGGTTTCAGCGACATCCGAGCTTACGAGACAGAGCATCGCGATATGCAACGGGAAGCCGACGAAGAGCGGACCAAGTTCGAGGTGCAAAAGTCTAGGTTCCAAAGTCAACTCACCTTGGCACGTGACATGCACAGCAACCTGGAGAAACGTCTCAAGAAGCTGCAAGAAACCCTCAAGGGGGCTGAGCGTGACCTGCAGACTTATCAGCGAGAGAAGTCAGATATTGAGGACTCCAGTCACGAAATTTCTGACGAGCTCGATGCGCTTAGTGAGACGCTCGAGGAGTACCGTGGCAAGTTGGAGGAGAAGAGCCAAAAGGTCTCCCAAGCCAAGGCTGAGGTACACAAGCGAAGCAAAGAAATCGACGCCAGACAAAAGGAAATCAACGCTCTCGAAACTGTAGTGCAGAAGAACAGCGCGGGCAAGTTCGCGTTGCTCAGGCGGTGCAAGCTTGACCAGATCCAGGTGCCTTTACTCAAGGGCTCGCTCGACAACTTGCCAAATGAGGACAATATGCTGAGGCAAGACGCCGATGCCATGGACGTCGATGAGGAGGTGGATGATGAAGACATGATGACGGCTGCTCTCGAGAACCACGGCATTGAGATTGACTATGATGGCCTGGACGAGGAGATGAAGACGGTAAGCAAATCATTAATAGCGTGACCTGGCGAATATTTGCTGACACATAATGCAGTCTGACGATGCCAGTGTCGAGGAGAAGTTGCAAGATAAGATTGCATCTCTGGCTTCGGAACTCGAGAAACTCAACCCTAACATGAGGGCGATTGAGAGGCTCGAGAGCGTTGAGTCGAGGCTGAAGAACACGGAGAAGGAATTCGAGGACTCCAGAGCGGCTCTTAAGGCGGCCCGCGATGCGTTCAACCACGTCAAGGCTCAGCGCTACGAGCTGTTCAATAAGGCCTTTACGCACATCCAAGAACAGATCTCACACGTGTACAAGGATCTGACTCGATCAGAGGCGTATCCTCTCGGTGGCCAAGCGTACCTCGATATTGAGGAAGATACAGACACGCCCTACCTTTCTGGTATCAAGTATCACGCCATGCCGCCGCTGAAGCGATTCAGAGACATGGAGCATCTTTCCGGAGGAGAAAAGACAATGGCTGCTCTCGCTCTGTTGTTCGCGATTCACAGCTACCAGCCAAGTCCCTTCTTCGTATTGGATGAGGTCGACGCTGCACTAGACAACGCCAACGTGGACAAGATCAAGAAGTACATCCGCGAGCACGCTGGTCCCGGCATGCAGTTCATTGTCATCAGTCTCAAGACCGGATTATTCCAAGACAGTGAGAGCTTGGTCGGCGTTTATCGCGATCAGGAAGTCAACAGTTCTAGAGCGCTAACTCTTGATGTAAGTTCTTCACCACACGCGATTGTGATTTCATCACTGACCGGGAAAACAGCTTCGAAAATATGCTTAAGGCAGAAGACGACGAGATTTTTGAGGCACATATAAAGGAGAGGATGAACCTAGTACATTTGGGCGATGAGATGTGGGTTCTCTTGGCTCCCGGCGCGGGCAGTAGAGGGACGAGTTACGATACCAGCTCTGTGTTCTTGGGGCTTTTCGGTAATTTTGATTTGGGGGAGGAGAGTGTAAGTCGGCTCTCTGCTCCGTACAGTTGCTTCATATCCGGTATCCCAGCTTACCCAGGCGGTTCAAGGGTAGCTTTGCGGCCACGCTACGAACCGGCAAGGGTCGTAAATGGAGTTTGGACTGTCACACGGCCGGTGGAACGTTGAACTTCATGTCAATGGATGGTTTCTCTTATTCTAGCGTCTATTCTTCCTGCTACTTTGGCTGGAAATCAAATGGTCTGCAGTGTCGTCTTACAAGTGACCCTTCCATTTGCCCTACCTAATAAGTGAATAATAGACGGCATAGGTATTGGTCATCAATTGCATTGCTACGTCTGCATCAAATTCCTTCCAATCGCTATACCGGATAAATCTAAGAAGGTCCTACTAGAGATTCAAAATATGACTCCCGTCTGCTTGCGGTGTTATTCCGTACAGATAACTTTGCGAGGCACCCCGGTGCTATTCCGCGAAAGTGCCCTGTGCTCGCTGTGGATGCCTGTTAGCCCTGCAAGGTACGGGGTAACGAATACACTAGAAGAAGCTACCTAGGTAGGTAAGAGCTACCTTGCCTTACAACCTGCGGATAGGCCCGCCTTAGAGCATCTGCGTGCTGCCTAGATCTTTTCTCCAAAGACAAAGTGCGATTTGACTGCGCATTTGTGAAAGACGGCGCAATCCCACCTCTTCATTTCGCAAGACAATGTTCTCAGGCTGAACTCTTTGAGACTCCTGCTCTCGATTGAATCGCAGTAAAGACAGGCCTCTTCCTGCTGGTGGCTTGCGCATGCGCAAGTGCAAGTCGCTGCTGCTGAAAGCCCACCCTGCCATGGACTTCACTTCCTGAGTTCGCCAAGCAAACGTCCTCTCGGCCTCCCCATACCTCAAAGCAAGCAACATCCCTCAATATTTCCCTGGCGATATTGGATATACAGTCGAAAACATGGCGCAGCCTCTGGATCTCGCAAAGACTCTCGTCAAGTCTGTCATGCGTGCCTTCTACGAGACGCGCTTTATTTTGATCATCGATGCCTTGATCATTCACTCTGCGTGCGTCCGCCGCTCCTGCTTTGCAATACGACGTTTGCTAATATGTGACAGCCTTCGAGACGACGACTTGGCCTACCTGATGGCAACGAACACAAAGGATCTCCACAAGGCATGTGGAAAGCTTAGAGAAGACCGATTTCTAGCTGTGTAAGCCTTGCGACCGAGCCCTTTCCTCCGCCGAAAACCTCAGAGACTGACGATGATGACTACTCAGGTATACGAGGCTAGAATATCGAGAAGATCCCAAGAACCCCGAGGCGAAGCCACGTCCTGTCAACCGAACATACTACTACATCGACTATCGCCAAACCATCGACGCCATCAAATGGCGGGTGTATACAGTCGACAAGCAAATCCAAGGCACCACGGTGCCAGCCAGCGAACGCAAGGAATACTTCTGTGGACGATGCAAATCAGAATGGACGCAAATGGAGGTGCTAGACAACGTTGGCCCTACTGGCTTTGTCTGTCACAGGTGCAATGGCCCACTCACGCACGATCTCGAGCGCAACTCCACGGGCCACGAGCAGTCGACACGACTGAATAACCAGTTCAAGTTTATCACCGAACTGCTACCGCGCATAGACGAGATGATCGTTCCAGACAATACCTTCGATATCGCCATCAGTAAAGCTTTGCCAGTCGTCCGCGACGCCAGTTACACGAGCGTAACCACCATCCCTGTTTCGTCCTTGCAACCAACATCCGTCAAGGGTCTCGATAACGTTGGACCCAAGTCCATGTCAGTCAGCATCTCAACGGCGGACGGACTTTCAGAGGCTGAAAAGGCAGCGGAGAAGGCCCGCAAGGAGAAGGCCGCACTGCAAAATGCGCTTCCTTCGTGGATGTCCAACAGTACGGTCACGGGCGAGTCCTTCTCGGCCGAAGCCAACCCAATGCCCGCCACCAAGGTTGAGGAGGTGGACGACAAGGGAGCTGTGTCAAAGTCAGCAGACAATACAGAGCATGCAGAGCTGGATGACTATTTCGCTCGACTCAAGGCCGAGCAAGAGGCTGAGGCAGCGCGGGCAATGGAGGAGGAGGAAGACGATGACGACGATGAGGAAGAAGACGCCTTCGAAGACGTCACGCCGAGCATCGCAACCCCGGCACCGGCTATTAAAGCTGAGCCCTCACCGGAATCGGAAGGAAGAGCAGTCAAGAAGGTCAAGGTGGAGGCGCCAGCGGATGGTGATGATGGCGAGAGTGACGAAGACATGGAGTTTGAGGATGTCTAGAGGCGCGAGGAAGACATCAAAGCATCAGAATGCCTTGACGACGGAAAAGCTGGGAGAGACTCCGCATCATGACGGGGGACTGGCTGAGGATTTGACGAAGGTTGGCGGTATTACTCACCGTCCCTTGCCTACCAAGTTCTCTTCTCTCATGCCTACGGAAGCATCCCGTCGGTGTAAGAATAGGGCACGCACAGGGAACACACACGGTGGTGGGGAAAATAGAACGTGGACGAGAATTCCTTTCCTAGACCAGAAAGATGAAGTTGATTCAGTTAATTACTGGGAAGATATTCGTTGGCAGAAGTGCGTGATGCATGCTAAGCCATATGGTGCAGGGACGATGATGTCAGCGCCTTGAGTTGAGCGAATCGCCGGCATAGCGCAGTATCCGTGAAGTAATACTTTACCGTCCCTCAATCCTCATCACTTGACGCGGTGTACCTGAGTCTCACCACATCAACCCCGCGACAAGGTTCAGTTGCGTTGTAAGTGCTGAGCAATTCCACCAGTCGTTTGGTAGCAGAACCAGTCAGGGACATATTCAGTGTAGATTGTGGGGAGATACTTCTCATCCAGACTTCGCCGCCAACGCGCGAATGACTAGTATTCGACGACTTAGAATGCATTCATGTCACTCATGACAGTACAAAAGATCGACCTCCTCGCATCGCCATAATTCGTCCATTTTAGCGGCTCTCACGCCGCCTCGGGCCAGGGGCCATGACAGACCTCGACTTTCCATCGATCTACCTCCTTCCCACTCACCTAGAGGCGGATCAACTACACGAGCTCGAGGGAAAGATCCCGAGCCTCACATACGACATCCGCGAGGCCGAGATTATTGTCGGAAACATCTTCAAACGAGAAAGGGCACTTTTCGAACTCAGGCGTAAGAAGGTGCAGACAGACCCAGTGGACGTAGCAGCTGCCGCAGATGCGCATCTCGTCACGCCCCGGAAGCGCAAAAGGGCGTCTTCTGGAAGCGACAGCGACTCTACCGTGTACACGGAAGATGGACAGAGGTTTGGGCCAGGCACGTCACAGCTCGCCGGGACGTCGTCAGCTCCCGAGAGGGTCGCCAGTGATGCCGACACTGTCAAGGTCGTGAAGCTGGCGTGGCTCCAAGATTCGTTTGCACAGAGCAGGGTGCTTCCGCTTCATGACTATATTCTCTACGAGGGCATCAAGAAGGACGAAGACCGCGCGCCTGTCACTATTAGGGGAAGTGACATATTGTCCCGCGCTGCCACCGACAGTGCGTCTCAAACACAGGGCAGTCTCTTACCGCAGAAGAAAAAGAAGGCGCAGTCCCCTTTCGAGACACACCGATCAGTACCTTCTTTTATCAGACAGACGACATCGGAACATGACTCAACGCTTGAGCTGCTACCTGTGCCGCAGTATCTCAGAACAACATATGCTTGTCAGAGATCTACGCCGGTCGATCCTCCGAATGCTGCATTTGTTGATAGCTTGAAGACGATTAGGACCATACGGAAACTAGGGGGCGATCAAATAGGAGTGAGAGCGTATTCAACCTCGATAGCCACGATATCGGCATATCCTCACGAGATCGCCAACCCGCAAGGTGAGCATTTGCAACTTAGAAGAACTTCGATCAAGGCCTGGCATCTGTTGACACTCCATATAGAAGTTGCGAGGCTACCTGGCTGCGGCGCTAAGATCGCCGAGCTGTGGCACGAGTGGAAGGAAACCGGCAGGCTTCCCGAGGCGGATGAAGCCCAGGCGAATCCCAAGTTTGCCGTCATACAAACATTTTACGACATCTGGGGAGTTGGTGATGCTACGGCTCGTGACTTCTACGGAAGAGGTTTGTGGCGCTGCGTCTCTGTGCCAGAACACCCCGCTGACCAGCACATACAGGATGGCGAGACCTGGACAACGTTGTCGAATACGGCTGGGACAGTCTTAGTCGCGTGCAGCAGATTGGCGTGAAGTACTATGATGAGTTCAAGCTTAAGATACCTCGAACCGAAGTCGAGTCCATTGCCGACACGATCCTGGCTCACGCCCGCAGAATCCACCCGGACTTCCAGTTGGTCATTGTTGGCGGCTACCGGCGTGGCAAGCAAGGTAGTGGAGATGTCGACGTGGTGATGAGCCACCCCGACGAGTCTGTCACTTTGAACTTTGTCGACAAGTTGGTCATGAGCCTGGAGAAGACTGGACATATAACGCACACGCTCGTGTTGAGTAAGCACAATAGCGAGCGGGGCCAACAGCCTGTCAGCTGGAAGGGTAACGAGTTCAGGGGAGGCGGCTTCGATTCACTCGACAAAGCGCTCGTGGTTTGGCAGGACCCGGCGACAAATGGGCACGAGTTGCGAGAGAGGCCGCATCGGCGTGTGGATATCATCATCAGTCCTTGGAAGACGGCCGGGTGCGCCGTCTTGGGCTGGAGCGGGGAGACGACGTTTCAACGGGACTTGCGCCGATACTGCAAGAAGCAGAAGAGCTACAAGTTTGATAGTAGCGGCATCCGGAGCCGGCTCGACGGTAGCTGGGTCGACCTGGAGAGCGGCGACCTCGGGCAGGCTACCGACATGTTGACAGCCGAGAGAAGGGTATTCCAGGGCCTGGGCCTCGACTGGGTTCCTCCCGAGGATAGGTGTACCGGCTGAGTCGTTACAGGCCTCAATACAAAGGTTAACGAACCTAGCCCCGGTCGACCCGACACTCTGGAACCTCAGCTACCGTCACCGGCGCCTTCGGATGTGGCAGCAGATCGTCTGCCTCCCGAGTCCTTGGCGAGCTCGTGTAAAAGACCCGGGAACGGATAGATATCCTCGACCACAGAGATCCTAGGGGCAGATCACATGGCGAAGCGGGTACTAAAATGGCGTGCTAACTCCCGTCAGCATCTTATTGGGAGAGAAGCGCAGTCAAAACGCGCAAAAGTCCCGAAAGGCTGCCAAACTCTATCACTTATAAGGAACTTCGGTCTGGACAACTGCGCAGGGTTCTGTGTAAGTCAATATCATTGTGGGAATAACCTCACACCTCTTTCACACGTTTGTTGTCGAAGATATCCCAAGGCAGCACAATGATTCCGTAACTTGCGGAGGAATTGAAGGGTGCCTTCTCCCTCGAGCAAAGTCAATTACTAAGACATGTCCAAAGTCCGCTTCAAAGTCCGAGACAGGACGTCAAAACGGCCCCGCTCACAGCTCGCCGGACAGATAGTGATTGGTCAATCTCAGCCATAATCGGCAATCGGGCACATAATGTCGCCGTCCTCCCCACCCCTGAGATGCCCCGATGAGCCTATTCTTTCCTCTTCCAAGGGGCCACGTCCAACCACGAGGTACGCATTTGTGTCCGCCTAGAAGAAAATACAGGTCCAGGCTCGGTGCCACGGCACGACAAACCTGTCTACTCCGTAGCGAAGAACGCAAGGCAGCTCAAGGGTACGAATAGGTAGCCCAGATCAGAGTGCGGAGCGGAGACCGGTTCCTGGACCTGAGAAAGAAAGCCCGGACCAAAACGTCTGGCGTCTCGAGCTATACGGATACGACCCCCGCGCCCGTTCATTACGTAGCTTTTCAGGTCGCAGATTAGTAAATATAAAGACTATGGTCATTGCGTTGCCGTTTGCCTGTCAACTCTGTACCACACCATCCCGCCCAAACTTACTTTGCTCAATTGCATGAACACCTAGATCAATAATCTAACAAAGCTTCATTCTAACCAACCTTCCAACCGACCAATTCCCACCCTACCGCCATCATGCCTCTCACTCTCCAGGTCCCCGACGAGTACGGGTACGTATCACAAGCTCTGTCTCCCGGACAGAAAGAAATCCAATACTCTTGAGCTCATGTAGCTAACCAATTCCTCCCAAACAGCTACGTCCTCCTCGTCGCCGCCTCAACCTTCTTCATCAACACAACCCATGTCCTCCTGACAAGCAAATACCGCAAGGCCAGCGGCCTCGTCTACCCGGCCCCCTACGCCTCCAACGAGCAGGCCGAGAAGGACCCCAAGGCATACCAGTTCAACTGCGGTACAGTCCCCCTCCCCCCCGTCCTTCTTCCTTCTGCCCCTCTGCCCCTCTCTCTCTCTCTCTCTCTCCCCATTAAAGCAGACGCGCAGCTCTGGACTATCAAACAAAAGCAAGGGAAAAACACTAAACTAACGTTCACCGTTGCCACAGCACAACGCGCCCACGCAAACTTCACCGAGAACCAGCCCTCCTTCCTCGGCGCCCTCCTCATCTCCGGTCTCCGCTTCCCCGTCGCCAGCGCCGTCCTCGGCGCCGGCTGGACCTTGTCCCGTATCCTCTACGCCTTTGGCTACACAAGCGGCGCTGGCCCCAAGGGCCGGACTCGGTGCGTTTTGCGTTGCGCAACACCCTCCTCTTATTTTGGGGATTGTATCTGTCACCTTGAAGATTCCTTGCTAACCTATACATATGCGCAGTGGCTCCATTGGTTCCTTCCTCTTCGACACCGTCCTCAAGTTCACTTCCACCTACGCCGCTCTCGCCATGATTATGAATTGGTAAAGGGGCTTGATCACTTAGTATGCTGCTTAATGGATCACGATCCAATCTCTTGCTTTACTAGCCGCTATGTAAACCATACAAACAAAAGAATGCCGGGGATAGCCGACCATCATGTCCCGCAGTATTGTCCCAGTGAACCGACCCATTGCTTGATAACCGCTGCGTACAACCGTGACAATTATACCTAAACAAATTCCTACCATCGCCATAACTCCGTGTCGTACACCTGGGTTGCTGTGCCCAGCCACTAATCTCCCTTACTCTCCACTTGTTGTTCTGCTTGTTCTTCCCGAGGCGAACAACGAAGCCGGAGGACCAAGACTCAAAGTTCATCCTTTGGGCTGCCTAACTATTTGCGCTTTCTAAGTCGTCGAAGCTCCAAACTGCGATCCGGTTCATCGGATGTTTGTGGTGAGGCTCCTACAGACTTTTCGATTCCGTTGTTACCAAGGAGATAGTCTCCAAAGTACTTCATCGCGCTGAATATTTCCTCGCCAACCGGGATGATGTTTTCCCGGGGAAGAAGAAAGCCGTAGCTGCCGGTATCCCTCAACTTGATCTGGTAGCTGTAATGCGCGTGCAGTTCGTGGTAGAACCAGTCGATGGCAGATCCACCGCCTGTCTCGAGACGCTTGGCGCCTGGTGCAGAGCCTCGTCCTGCGACGGCTCCTTCACAGGCCGAGGTAACCGAGTACAGCTCTCCGTTAGACAGACGGATGGCCTTGGCAAGCCCAGCTGCAAGCTCTTCGAGGTTCTCGACATTGGGCGGGTCCACGTCGCAGGAGTATGCGAAGGGGAATAGCACCTGTTGGGAATAGGAGTGCAGGTCAATGAGACCAATAAACTCGGTATCCTCCAACGAAGCATTCCTCGCCCAGATCGCTACAGCTCTAGCTTCAGCCGCCTGCCATGGTTGTTTACCGCCATAGCTCTCAGAGCAAGGATCATTTTCGGAGTAGTCACCCCATTCATAGCCAAAGGCGTGGTCGAGGTCGAAGCCGTGGCACCAAGACATACCAGTCTCCTGCCGGGACTTGCGCCACAGTCGGTCTGCAGTCCAGGTATACTCGATGCCGTCGGGGTTGACTGCCGGGATGAAGACGAAGTCGAAATGCTCCAGCAGCTTGGTGATCATGGGCTCTCTGCCGAAGGCCGTAATGAAGGACCACGCGACGTAGTTGGTAGTTGTCGTGGAAATCCACTCTCTTGCATGCATTCCTCCCGCAATAACGACGGTCTTTCGCTTTTCGCTCCCTGGCGCCCTTGTCTTCATGCCAACCTTGAGACCAAGAATATCTCGTTGTTCAGAGGATTGCCCAATGGTTATAACTTCGGTGATGGCCGGGAACATGGCTTCGGTCAATCGCATCCATTGGACGATGGTCTAGAAATGTGTTAGCTCAAGCTCGGCGGAACTTGCACGGGTGGCGTAAGGTCACATACGTCCAGTCTCTGATAATCTTGAAAAAAGTAGTTCTCGTTCCCGTTTTGCGCGTTCTTGAGGTTTGCGCGACCATCAGGGATGCGGTAGGTCTGGGACGGGACATCGACAGCCGGATAAGTGTCGTAGACAGCGGCTGCTACATCTGAAATCAACGTCGAGTAAGCTGATTTCAGCGAGTCGGGCAGAAGCCCAAGCAGGGATCGAACATTGTCCTGACGAATCCGAACATCGACAAATTCATGGTTGAAGGCCCAAATGTCTAGGAAGGTCCGGGCGGCAGCGGCAGCAAAGGCAGTCTCTTCTTCGGCGGTGGTCAGGTTGAAGCGCAAGACGACCTCATTGATGTGATCATCTCGCAGGCTTGTTCGGACGTGGGATGTTAGGTGACTAGCTTTGGCAGGATGGGGGCCAAAGACGAATTCAACGACGCCATTCCGAAGCCTCTTCAGGAAAGGGAAGAGGTCAGACTTGGCTCGCACGGCGGTGGTGGAGGCGTCGTGGCGGTATTCGGGGTATGCGTCGAAACGTGCAGCGGAGGCGGCGGGGACCAGGACGGCGACGCTGGCCAGCGAAGACAAAACGACGTGAGGCCGCATGGCGACAAGCAAAGTTTATTGTGATGAGCGGCTGTGGAAGATTACTGACGTCAATCCAGCCCGGCGTCAGGGAGGGATGGATGTGGGCGAGGCGACCGAGGGTCAATTGCGATGATGGGGGGTGTTGTAGCGATAGAGTCGCGACACACTCTCGGGGTCCCGGAGGATGGAGCGAGGTTCAGGAAAATGCAAGTGAGTGAGCGAGCGATAAGGAATGCAACAGCACGGCTGACCTTGCCTCACCTTGGACTTGGAGTTGGCAGGGAGCAGGCTCAGGCAGCCGCTTACTTGTAGGTTGGGTAACTGGGTTTGGCCGTCGCAACACGATCCTTGTCAGTGACGGGATCACTGTACATGTCATTGCCCCCAAAGGGACGAGGAAAATGCTGCTATTTTGTTAGCCAGCATGTGGCCTTGCACCAGCATTACAGATACAACTATCGCAGCGAATTCGCAGAGATATTCATACGGCCCAATGTGTTTCATTGAATGTGGGATGTGAGGAACGCTGGAAAAGAGGGAACAACACTTGAAGGTAAGGTAGGTACCAGAAAAGCGGAATTGGTGCTTGTACCTTTTGAGATATTGGAAGCTTAGGTAAGGTACGAAAGAGGCATAGTGTCTTAGGTAATAGAAGGTGCTTCGAAGTTCACCTCGCCCTCTGAGGTGGGCTGGACCGGCACTCCCGTCGGGTCAATCAAACGTCGGGTGTACTGGAAGTTCAATGGTTGGATTGTCCCTGGAGTTCTGAACCTCTTCCCCTGGCTTACCTAATAATGTCAAACTTGCACCTGACGGGAGGTGAGGATTGGGATGGGCTTCATGTGGTGCCCGGACCACAGCCCGGCCAGCGTATTCTTCATTTCAGACTGGTCGTGTCTGCCCTGGCGCTTCATCTCAACATGGCCCTTTACTCACCAAATTGGCAGTCTGAGGATCGCCAGGCCTGACCCTGCTTGTCCTCCTTCCCCTAATTCTTCGTCGCTTTCTAATTCTTTCTTAGCTGTCTACGGATTCGTCACTTGTCGTCCAATATGCACTGCGTGTATTCCTGCCCATGGTACCTTGGTTCGATGTTAGACACGCAAGCCAACGTACCTGGATCCTGAACTACCTAGCACACGACCTAAGGTATTAGATGGGAATGGATACATAGGGAAACTAATAACATCTTGCCCAATGGAAGTTACCTAAGCCCCGTGCTAGGTTACCTGGAAGCTAGGAACTTCAGCCTAGCCCCCCCGCTGCTGGGTACGTGTGCGTGGGCAAAAAAAAAAAGCGTGCCACCTGCCTGGAACCGGCCCACCCCAGTTGGCCGCGGCTCGACTGCATCAGTCCCAGGATGCTATTAGTCGCAGACTCGCAGCTAAGGCAGGTAGCGTATTCTGAATACCTTACCTACCTTAGTCTACCAGGTCATTAGGTAGCCCAGTGCTTTTCCCTCTCTATCCGTAGCTTCCTAACCTTCTCGCCGCTGTCCGTCGAATACCCGTGATGTGGCATGTCCTTGCATCAAGTCGTGTCCTGTTCCATATTGAAGTGATTTGTAAAGTACCTTACCATAAGGTGCCCTGTGTTGTGTCTCTGCTATTTGTTGTCGTGATTGTCTCCTTACGCAGCAGTATGGGCTTCTGAACCCCTTCTTTTTCCATCAGCCCCCCCCTTTCCCCCGGTATGAGGCCGGGACGCCGCTACTTGCCTACGACAGCGCAAGCAAACGCCAATGCCAATTGGGCTTGTATTATGTGTACTTTTTCCCTGTTGATCTTTTTTTCACATTGCCCATCCTTCTTTCTGCATCCAAATACATGCGCCTCTACCACTGCTTTACAACCGACGACGTTTCTTTATCTGTCTTGCTTTCGACTTCCGGTACTTCACTTAGACTCCCTCGCCTTGTGCTCACATCTCGGAACACTTCCATCATTCTCCACGTCTCTCTCAGTCTCCTCGCTCTCTTCTCGGCTTCCCCCCCCCCCACATCCTGCTGGTCTTGGCCTCCCTCCCTTCGTCCTCCGCACCTTAAGGTACACGAATAGGTACCTTCAGCCCAGGCTTGCCTCACCTTGCGCGGCTGGGCTAGGTACGCCAACGCCAGCAGGACCAGCGTGCCAGCCTACGGATAATTACCTACCTACCACATCCAGCAGCGACCAAGGACCCCTACCCCCAAACCCGGTCGTCCTGTCTCTTGCGTTGCAATGCGCTTAGCCTAACATAAACAACACCCTTGCCTCACCTCACCTTAACTCACCTCGCCCCGTCTCGCCTGGCCTTACCAAACCTGACCTCACCTTGACACTGCTTACTCGGTCTCCCTACCGTCCAATTCTCCTCCTTCGTGTTGAACTTCCACCGCGCATCCCCCATTCTCTAGACTTGCCAATGTCTTCCGCCTCCGTACTCAACAATTCCACCTCGTGCTGATGGCTTAGCGTCCGGATCGTACGGCATCGCACCGCACCGCCCAGACGTGACCTCGACCGCGGTCGTCATCTTCCCACTTTTGACGATATATCCCTGGCAAACCATGACCCATCGCCGTCATGCCTTTCCTACGCCGTCGCGGCAACATGGTCAGCGAGACCGACATGAGGCGCCATACCATTCTTGAGACCGAGACTGCGCCCCAGCTTCCGCCGCTTCCCCAGCACTTCCCTCCCCAGCGACCTCAATCCCACCATCAACAGTCAGACCAGCTACCGCCGCCGCCGCCGCAGCAGTCACCCTCCCGACCCCAATCACAACAGCACAAGAAGCAACAACTCGGCGACCTGTCGAATCCGATACCCGAACTTAAACTACCACCATCGCTATCGCCGCCGCTGCCGCCCTCACAGCTGATGCAGGAGCAGGAGAAGAAGCAGGAACAGGACCAGGAACCTCAAGGGGAACAACCACGACCCTCTGTGTCCGCTTCGATACGAGAACCTCCCTCTGCGTCTTTAGCCGTACCTAGACCATCCGACGACGATGATGGCGCTCTCAACCCACCGAATCCCAATGACCCAGACGCGCGACCAGATACCCCTCCTATCCAGGAAGAGACACCAAAGCACCGTCGTTTCTCCATATTGAGGTTTCGCAATGCATCCGACTCGCAATTATCTGTCAGGGCTAAACAGCAGGCCGAAAAGCCCCCTCCTGTACCTCGCCGTACGTTGCTACCAACCACTCCCCCAAATGGCTCTCACCTGCGCAAGAACTGGGCCTTGCCAAGATCATTCTGCTAACCAGCTACAATAGCCCCTGAAATTATCACGACAGCTCCCACCGCCGATCTCCAGGTTCCCCAGAAGAAGCAATCGCGCATGCGACTCGCGGACCGCTTTCGACGCTCAGGCGAATTGCCAAGACATAGCGAGGATGGAGGCGGAAGGGCTATGACATGGAAGTCAACAAGAAGGAAGACGGGATTGGAAGACATGGCATCGAGAAATCGCCCAACCCTTGTGACCTTTGAAGAGCCTGGCCGCCCAGCATCTTCGAGATCGCCGACGAATGGAGAGCATCATGACGTTCCCAACCTATCACTTCCCAACAATCGAGCCTCAGAGTCGTCGCGCTCCGACGCTAGCTCAGGAGAACATTTATATGCCACAAACACCATAGGCAACTCGCCTCCGGTGCCCTCAAGCTCCAGCTTCTTTCGACTACCCCGAAGGAAACCCAAGGCTGCAGCACCAATGTTCGACTTGTCTCATTTACCACAAAAGGGCAAACCTTCGATGGATAACCCCGCCACGTCATCTTCGTCTCTTGGGGGCTCCCAGCCAGCCGCTGCTTCTACTTCCAGGGAGGGAACCCCTCGTCCTCAACAAGGCTCGCGGCCTCATTCGAGTCACAGCACGCGGGCTAATTCCGTGGCGTCCTCTGCGCATGAGCAGTCAGCGAAGCCCAATCCTTCACCCGCTACCGCTCTGTTTAGACCAGGATCGACGAACTCGGGACAGTCCTCTCCTACGCGTGCCCGCTTACAGCGCCGTGGCAGATCTTCAACCATGAGTTCTCTGGGAAGAGATTCTACGGATGGTCATCTTGACCCGGGAAATGGTCGAGCATCGACGTCGGTTGGGCGTAAAAGCTTCGGTGACCTATTTGGGCTGAACCGACTGCGCCAAAACTCTGACCTTGGCCAGGGTCGACAAGGCAGCTTGACGCCCGCAACGCCTGGATCCAATACCTCAAAGAACAACTCGCTGCAGATTGCCCGGGAAGCGATTTCTCTACCCGAGAAGCTTGAGGATGAGACTCCCGTCAAATATCTCGCTCGAATCGAGGAGATATTGAACCGCGGAGTAATTGCCAGTGCGTTGTCTAAGGGGAGTGATCCGTTCTCGATAGCAGTTTTGCGCAGCTATATGCGCCGCTTCAGCTTCTTCGAGTACCCAATGGATATGGCCATCCGAAAGTTACTCATGGAGGCCGAGCTACCAAAGGAGACGCAGCAGATAGACAGGTGTCTACAGGCTTTTGCGAACCGTTATCACGAATGTAACCCCGGCATATATGCCTCTCCAGATCAGGCGTACTTCGTCGCATTCTCACTACTTATTTTACACACTGATGTCTTCAACAAGAACAACAAGCACAAGATGCAGCAACCCGATTACCTTAAGAACACCAAAGGAGAAGGTGTTTCAGATTCGGTCTTGAGCTGTTTTTACGATAACATTTCGTATACCCCTTTCATTCATGTCGAGGATGACCTAGACCTCAGCAGCGATCGACTTTTGGCAAACAGGGCCAAGCGGAAGACGATTTTCCCAGGAGGCACACCGGAAACTACGGCCAAGCGGTCAAACCGGGAGCCTCTTGATCCTTACACACTTATAATAGACGGCAAGCTGGATATCTTGCGACCAAGTCTCAAGGACGTAATGGAACTCGAAGACCATTACAACTATTTAGGGACGGCAAAAGATCTCAACGTAAAGGAGCTCCAGAGAACGTTCTTCAGAACCGGCGTGTTACAGATCGTGTCGGCCAGATCTCGGCCTGATGCCTTCCGCGATGATAAGGGTTCCAGCAATCCGGCCGAGGCGGCGCAGGGCGTTGTTGACATCAAGATCACCAAGGTCGGGCTCCTGTGGCGCAAAGATGTTAAGAAGAAGAAGACGAGGTCACCGTGGCAGGAATGGGGAGCTATTCTCACAGGCGCTCAACTCTACTTCTTCCGCAACACCACTTGGATAAAGAACCTAATGCACCAGTACGAGTCACACGTCAAGCAGGGGTTCGATGGTGAGCCGATCACCTTCAAACCACCTCTTCCGGAGTTCAAACCAGACGGGTATCTGCCGACTAAGGAAGCCGTTGCGCTCGTCGATTCTACCTATAAGAAGCATAAGAACGCCTTCAAATACTCCCAGCCAAGCGGTTACGTGGAGGAAGTTCTTCTAGCCGATAATGAGGAAGAGATGAACGATTGGCTAGCGAAACTTAACTACGCGGCGGCTTTCACGACGTCGGGTGTACGCATGAGGGGCGTCGTGGGAGGCAATTACGAGGGCCAAAGTCGGCGCGGCATCAGGAGACTCGGCAGTTCGGCCTCTGCTCAGGTCATCCAGACTCCAACAGGCGATGTAAGCATTGTCAGAGGCAAGATTGACCACAAAGAGGCCGAATCTATCCAGGCGCAACGGCGGCAAACTATGATGGACGCGGTCGCCAAAGCTGATGAAGAGATTGCTCTCAAGGAGCAAGAATTAGAGGGACACCTGAGGAACGCCCGGCACCTTCAGATCCTGTCGCCTATTCAAGGCAAAACCAGAGATCAGATCTTGTCAGCTGCAGCTCACATGGACGTCAAGATCAAGTGGACTCGCATGGACATGTGGAAATCGATGTGTCATCGGGATGTTCTGTTGAAGGATCTAGCCGAGGAGCAGAGTCTTCAGGGTCTAACACCTACCACAACTCAGAACGGCCGAGAGCCCCGTGAGACATCACCCTCTCCCAAGGAAAGACCCTCTATCCTCGACGCCGTGTCGGCAAACAGCGTGGCACGCAGGCGCAGGCGGTCGTCTGCTGCAGTCCCAACAATCCAGCCTTCGAAAACTCCGCAGGCAGAGCCTGACTCTCCCGTCACTGAAGCTTATCAAACCCCGCCTACCAGCGCGACTTTCAGCCCGCATAAGCATCAAAACTCATGGGACTCGAAGGTTTCTAAGTCGGCAGAGCGTGGCCAGCCCCAGAGACCTGGCTCCAGCTCTAGCCAGTCATCTGGAGAGCCAACTTTCTACAGCCCGCAACAGCATTCAACGCAGAAGAGAGGCAAGACCGCTGAACAGCCTTCAGACAATGAGCGACACGACGACGTCGATGCGAATGAACGGGCGCTACTACAGCAAGCCGGTCTGCTCGAGTCAGGTTCTCGCGGGCGAATTCCTCCAGAACGGAAGCGAACGGGGTCTTTCTCTGAACCAGGAGATGCCTCAGAGTCGCGAGATACGCCTGGCTCAATCGATAAGCAAGACAAGACCAAGATTCGGCGAAGCCTCCAACGCACACTCAGAGAAAGTGCTGGCCATCTATCACACCACCGCAGCAGAAAGGGCAAAGAAATCATCTTAGGCAGCGGCGCGGATGACGCGAGCCGTGAGGACGTGCTTACCAGGGGCTCTGGCAGTTTTGTAGTCCATGGAAAGAAGGCGTCCGTCATCAACTTCGGCTCCGAGCTACAGCAACTTACTCCCGAGGAGCGCATGAAGCAGCGAAAGCAAGACGAGCCCGCGTCTCCCGTCAGTGTCGCAGAAGACTACCACGATGCTTTGAACAATTCGCTGGAACCGACGGAAAGAAGAGAATCAGCCGCCAGCGCCAGCACTGCCACGGCCAGGAGCTTCCGTGAACTCCACCGCAAGTACTCTTCAGCACACGCATCCAAAGCACCCGCCTTTGGCGGGCACCTTTCGGTACCGTCCGATGGCGAGAGTGAGGCAGCAGTCAGCTTCTCCGAGGGAAGGAGGACACCGCTTCCTCCAATCGAGAATGAGTCCGGGGACGAAGAAGAGAATGATGCGGCTGTGAGCAGTCCTCAAATCGTCAGCCCACGGCCCATTCCCAGCCCTCAGCTGATCATGAGTCCAAAGCCCATATCTGCTGCGCTAGCAACTCCACTGGCAACTCCGTCTGAGCCTTCGACGCCCTTGGAACCGCAGATGGAGGAGAAGGAGGAGGAAGACGAGAGGGGTGCTGAGATGCAGCGGCTGCCTAGCCCCCCTGTGCAAGCAGTCAAAGCCTAGCTAGGTCTAATAATTTAAGCGAGGGGCAGGATTCCAGAGGCAATTTTTCATGATGAAAAATACCATGCCCACATTGTACAACTAGTTGACATCGGATGATGCAGATCTGGAGATGAGTCAGGAGAAAACGGAAGATACCAGCCAGCGAGAAAAAGGGGTAGCTAGTGATTTGATAGAGAGGGATGAGCATGAGCGGGAGTGGTGGGCCATAGGACAGACAGCATCATCATAAAAGGATGCGCAGATGGGGGCCGGCAGCGCTCCTTGGCTGTCATTCACAATTACTTCTTTCTACTGTCAACGACCATACTCTGAGGTAAAAGGCTATGTGTGATCGATCTAGAGTGGTAGATGTGTACTAAGGCGTCTAATAGATGGTTTCCTGGCAGCGGGGAAAGGTGTATGCAACTCATTGTAATGGTCGATTAGAGGGAAACGTCAAGAGTAGGGCGCACATACAATCAAACGATAGGTACCCCTTCCCCAACAACTTGTTTAAGGGCAACTTCTCTTTAAATCATATTTCGTGCTGGGTTTCTTAATTCTCTTTTTGTGGTAGGATCAAGAGTGAACTTTTTAATTTTGGTATACCTGTGCAACCACGATCGATCTACACAAGCGCGGCCTTCCATCATGTTCTCGACAGACTGGCAAGCAGAAAACGGGGGGCCAACGAGTCCTGGTAGCACCTTTCTTTCTTCATTTCTTGCCCTTCTTCTTCTTCTTGTTCGACGATGTCGTCGGCGCCTTTTCGACTTTGACAGATCCCGCGCCACCCGCCAACTCCAACGTCTCCTCCTCCTTGACGAGGCCACCTTGCGTCGCCTCCTGAGCCTTCTTCTTGCCCTTCTTGCCCTTGGGACGGTACGAGGATCGATCGCGGAGGGGCAGCCAGCGCTCGGGGTCCATCTTCTTGCCTTCGACATAGTCCTTGGGCAGCTTTCTTCTCCTCTTCTTTTTGTTGCCTGCATCGGCGGGCTGATCGAGGCGGCGCTTCTTGGCTTGGCTGGCCGGGGCCTCGAGGGTGGCGACGCCACCGCTAACGAGCTGGTCGACGTCGATTCCACGGAGGAGATCGTCGATAGGGGGCAGACCAGCGAGGTGGGGTGTCACCTTTGCTCTGTCTGATGTGGCGAAGGCTGCCACGAGGCCGGCGGCGGCCACAGGGTCCGCAGTGGGCTTCTGGCAGAGCTTCTCGAACGCAGCGCCGGCAGCTGCAAGGTCCGTGGGCTCAGATGACCTAAGGAGCTCCGAGCCGGCGCCACGGAGGAGGGAGTCGACATGGCGGCCATCGCGCTTCTCCCAGAAGGACGATGCCTTTGCAAGCTCTGATCGTATGTTACTGTGGCGGCCCTGCTGTCTGTAGAGAGAGACAGTCAAGGCGACCAAGCCGGGAGAGAAGCGCACTTCTGATGTGCCCTGTTTCTCCAGGTTCTGCAGGAAGCGCTCAAGGACGGATAGCGCAGCACCGGGGTTGTTTGCTGTGAGGTACAGCTGTATGATGGTGAGGAGCAGGCCGACATCTGTGGGACGCTTCTCAATCAGAGGGAGAACCTCCTTTACGTCAACCGCCTTGGAGTGACGCAAAGCAAAGGCTGTAGCATTGATGGCTGAAAGGCCGTTGGTGTCGACAGATACCGTTGGCGAAGCCTTCGCAAGTGCCTTTGACGACTTCTCATACACGCCATCAAACTTTTGAGCTTGCAGGCCAAGAATGTACTTGTTCTGCTCCAACTGAATTTCTTGATACTTGAATAGCTTCGCCTGCTTGGTGAGAGCTGCCGCAGTGTCGAATTTGCGCTGGGCCAGATACGGATTATCCACCTCAGTCGCAAGAGCTGAGGTGTTGTTCAGCGCAATCAGTTTAGACTCAGCATCAGAGTCACTGGGTCGGATTGGTCAGCGAGTAAGCTTTAGAAATAATTCGGGTAAACTCACTCTGAAATGGATAGACGCTTCTGGATCGTGAGAGCTTCCTCGGTTTTGCCTAACCTAGTGTAGACATACACCTGCTGGACCATGATGGGAGTCATCTCGGCCTTCTTGTCGTCTTCGGAGAGCTCTTCGGATTCGTCGCAGAGGCGCAGGGCTTTCTGGAGCAGCTTCGTGGCATTGGAAAGCTCGCCACGAGCAATCATGCCACAGGCAACATTGTAGGCAAGCTCAAAGGTGTCGGCATCCTCAGCAGTGGGAATAGGCGTGTCCTCTCCGTCGAGGCTATTGGAAAGCTTCCACTCCAGCTGGGCGGCGGACGCCAACTGATTGATCTTGAGATCGCTCTCCTCTCCTTGTTCGTCCTCCAATAGGCTGCTATAGACGTCGAGCGCGTCCTTGAAGTCTTCGGCTCGGTAGGCCACCTGGGCAACCAGATGGCGGAAACTCCGCTGGGGCTTGGAATTGGCGACCTCGCGGGCCTCTTGCAGCTTGCCCGTCTTGTAAAGCGCATAGGCCTTTTCCAAAAGGCTGGCGTCCTCGAGTTTGGTGCCGCCGTCGGCAATGGCACGTAGGGCGTCGTCGAAACGGTCGAGCTTGAGGAGGGCAACAACGCGGGTGCGTTGGGCGACGATGTCGGTCTTGGAGGCTTTCAGAGAAGCATTGGCGGCCTTGAGGACCTCTTCGTGGTCTTCGATGGAAGCTGCGCGCAGCAGGGCGCTGAGGTTGGCAGCGGGATCCGAAGGCATCGTGAGGTGAGGGGCGGCGTCGGCAGCGAGAAATGTGTAGGAGCGATTTAATAGGGGCGGTGCTGCATGTTCTGCCGCTCCTCTATAGCTAGAACCGGCGGTTCAGTGGCGGTAGACCTCAGGCGACAACCAGCGATTGAGTTGAGGTGTTCGGCCGTCGTCCCAGGCGTCGTCGTGTGAGCACGTTGCGAAAGGCGATATCGAGTTGAAGACACGCTTGGGCCCATTCGAGGTGGATGGGGAATCGACGTCGATGTGGATGGTGGGGCAGAGCCAGTGACGTTCAGCGCTGTCAGCCTAGGTGTCCCACTTGTAGCCCTCCACACAGATTACGTGCAGTGGTACTTGAGACTACTTTGGGGTTTGAAGTGCCCTGAAGGCTGTTGGCTTTCTTTACTTTACTTTTATTTTATTGTTCTAAGTGTGGCTTTTTGCCAGCGGCGCGGATTGTGTTAACCATTTCCGACATCAACGTGGGCATGGTTGATTGATACAATCAACAACGTATCACAAGATTCGAAGTCACACGACTTTGCCGTCTCTGTTTCGTGTAGCTGTAAGTCCCCTGCTTTGTGCGGCTTAGGTCGAGGGTTTCCTTCATCATCAATCTGTATATATTTGCTTCTACCCCGCGATTGGATCGCAAGGCTATGCCCATCGCCAAAACCTGTGTGCTGTTGATGTCCATCTCTGGCCTGCCCATCCGCTTGCATCAGCGTCGCAGGTCGCCTGTGTCGTTACTTTCATGAATCATATCTCATACCATTATTCCCCGCCATGGTTGTTCGGATCCAATTTTCACCCTTCCTCACACGTTGTGCCTCATGCAGACCTCATCCTATTGCTCCCAGGATACGGAGCAAACGCCATTCACTAAGACGCGACTTCATCGTCATCCGAATAACCCCCACAGCCTTTTGCGCTTGACTTCCGGTTGATGGAAAGGTCTCAACGGATAAGTTGGCGCAACACTGAACTGGTCTATCGGTACCGGCTTTTCCGACGGCCTTCGTCGCAACTTGTTGGGCAGAATCTCGCCCAGCTTGGTGCTCCCTGATGACATCGTCGCCATGGACATGCGTTTCTCTGCCTTCAGTTGCTGCATATAGACAGGTTCTGCTGGTTTCGGCTCTGGTTCGGCACCTTCCGCTGTAGCCTTGAGGAATTTGCGCCCCGAGGTTTCCTTGTCCTTCAACTTGGGCTTGCTGTCTGCCGCAAGTATCCTCTTCGGACGCTTGCTCTTCTTGCTTGACCCGGACGAGGTAGACTTCAGGGACGAGGTGCTAAGTCTTCGTGACAAGTCATTGATCGCTTTGACAGCGTCAACACGTGATGAGTTGGACAAAGTCTTTAGCGACTGGTAGTCAATGACGGGGTTCTGGCCTCTCGTCATGAGATGAAGCAAGTTAGTCGTGGCCGACGTCAGACGCTTGATAACTCTTCGCACGGAAGATCGAGCCACGGCTGTTGTAATATGTTAGCGTATGAGTCTGCGAAGTCTCGGCACGCAAGTACACGCACCATCGCCCTTTTCAAGATGAGTCCCGGCCACGGACAGCTTCGAGGAGTATACACTTTGGACCTTGGACCTGTCAGAGCGAAGGCTCCTTCGAAGTTGTCGAGGTTGCCTGCTGTTGCGCGCCCCTTTCAAACCCTTCAGTAAAGACAGACACTTAGAATATGTCTCCAAGAGTGAGTCGATGGTGTCGCCAAAGCCGGCCATCTTGAGCTCTTGGTTATTTGGCCAAGTCGGGCTTATTTTGGCTTCAATCTGCAGACGGAGTTGAGCGCTGCATTTCGGACGTCTCTACTTCCAATCCATCTCCTCACGATCTTGATGAGGGGATGCCAGACATTTGTGAGAATGGGCGAGGCTGGGCCATTGGCCGAGTGCGCGCTGTTAGGAACCACGGAAAATGAAGCATTTTGGTTGGTCCCGTAGCCGCCGCACCAAACAATCCTGGTACATCATCGGCGGATTGGCCGGCAATGCTATGGGATTACTGGAAGGAATACCTGCACCAGCATTCCTTTTGTCAACTCTAGTAAAGCTTCGACGAGACATGGGGAGAGAATCATCGCGTCGGAAATGTGCGAGGAGACCAAAAGAGGCCACAGGCACTTGGATTCCGCCAACGTTATCATCACGATATTGCTGACATGTAGGTACGGACTTCCCAGTCGTCTGCAGGCATTTCACGGATGACTACAATCGGTGGATACCACGAGAGAATGAAATACCTCTGCGTCGAAGATGAATCCTATAGAGTCCACAATGAACAGCAAGACACAATAGGCACAGCTGAGCTGTCAATCCCACTGTATAGCTTCAGCTCGGTTTCAGAATGAACACATCGATCAAACGCCAACAGGCGCAACACGCATTTTGACTTGTAGAGGTAACGACATTGAGCCCTTTCGAGGTATGATGCGAACGGCCAGGCTGCCGCAGGTCTTAGTTGTCAGAAAGGAGGTTGAAGGTTTGCATTTGGTCTGCCGTTCTGTTCGAATTACATGTTATCAAAGAAACCCAACTCGTTGGCAAACCGTCAAACATGGAAATTCCGGTTGGCATACGTAGTATGTCAAATGCAGGTGGTTTGAGCTTGCCACGCGTGCCACGCTTGACATCCTTGTCTCGATAGCATGGATGATGGGCGGCCTCGCTCAGCGCTGCGGCGGTGAGTTAATCGAGCATATCGGGTTGGCATCCGTTACCCACCGAGAAAGGCGTTGAATCGTTGATAAGGCAGACGGGTCAGGCAGGCCAGGGACCAAAGCAGGGCTTCCAAAAATCCAGGGTTACAAGCACCAACAGGGGTTGGTCTGTCCGTCTGGGATGGGCCGTGAGGATGAGGCAGTCGGCGCGTTGGGTTCGAATAAAGGTCGGGATCGGATGGCGTTTCCGCAGGGAAGCCAGTCGCCATGGCAGACAGTTGACCAATAGCATGCTCGGGAGGTCTCACCGAGTCTCGCGATTGTGTCCAACGCTCGGTGAAATACTTTGTACCTTGACGTATAATGTCAAGTTGGGTTGACATTCATTATTCTTTGACTTTGCGAAAGCAGCAGGACGTGACGTCGGCAGCTCGGGGCGGTCGGTCTCGTTGATCTGGATGAAACTAAGGTAGAGATGCAAATAGGAAGGCGATTGGCGGCATCTGTGCAGATAACACAGGCTGCACAGCAGAGCATGAATGTGCATCGGTGAGGTAGGTCTCTACTCCATATGTACGAAGTACACAGCAACGGATGGCGGGGCGATGCATCGTCGCAATACCGGTGTCTCATTGTCCCATTGCCTAGGTAGGTGGGAATGTTGTGGTAAGCCCAAAGGAAGGGAAAGATGTCTCGAAAACAGAAGAGACATGGGTATCAGTACACTAGAGAGAGAGAGAGAGAGAGTAATCCCAATCTGCGCATGTGAGGCTGTATTATCGCAGGGTCTCTATCTGAAGTTTTGAACCGCATGGCCGAAAGTCGGCGGTAATGCCATCTTGCTGAGAAGGAAAGGACGTTACGGGGTGCCGGGATTTAGCAGTCGGCAGGTGTGACCCACGCGGCTCTACCCTAAAGTCTCTTGTGCGCGCGTTCCTGATCAATGGAAAGGTACGTATAAGGTAAAGTAACGTTAGTAGCTACGGAGTACTTTGTATAGATACTCACATAATTACCTAATAAACACCCACCACCAAGTGTCACGAGGTGCGTGATTGTCAGTAGATGGTCGGGACTCAAGACTCAGGATAGACCCGACCACTGAGCGATTTCGGTCCATCAGGTGTCGAGTGCCAGAAACCAGTATGGTTGAATACAGAGTAGCTAACTGCAAGTACGAACCGGCCGGCTGCAATTGGACCCCTGCTCACCAGCGCCCGCAGCAGTTCCATGCTCTCACGGGAGGATGTGGAAGGGGGACAAGACATGATTGCACATGTGAATAATCGATACCCACGGAAACCGGTACCCAAGGGCAGCAGGAAGTCGTAGTCCTCAGGGTGCAAGCACGCAAGGTAAGAGCACTGAGCAGGCACACATGGAGGATATCTGCGCCTTCCATTGGGTTGGTAAGACTTTGATGGTTGCAGTGCGTCTTATCTGGTTGGTCCCCCACATCCACCACTCAGAGGCTGTCTCTCGACCATCTGACGGGCGCACATGGGTGGGCGCCGACGGGAGAGCGTGGGAGGACTCTTCCTTTTCCTTGGGTGATTGCCTTGGGTACCTTGACGACTCCAGGAATTACCGTCTTGCACCACATGGCAACGGTCTGGCGCGAGTGAAGATGTCGGCACGATGGCGGCGAATTGCGTGCGGGCTGCGGGCGTCGGGTGAGGTCAAGGCCAACGTTGATATCTTGCCTTTTCTAGGTAGGTTTTTTTTCCCATGCTGTTAGCCATCATCGTCCCTGTTCTACGCGTGACTCTTGTGGATGTGCAGTTTCCCAAGATATGCGCAATATCTCGCCACCGTGTCACTGGTGTTGATGGTCTGGCCCTGACATGAGGTGCTTGGGGGTTGGTTGAGGTGATGGGATTGATAACCTGAACTGTCATGTCGAAAACGGCGCGGCATGCCACGCCTGGTGGTGTGGGATTCCTGTTTATTATCTTGCCTACCAGTTTCCGCAAGTATCTCTCGTGGAGTGAGGTACTTTAAGTTCCGAGTGTCTCCCAGCTAAACGCCGGGTACCTTTCCGTTCGCAGGTGATGTATCTTTGATTGACTTTCCAGGGGAGGGGGCCAGTGCGAATGGAATGAACGTACCCGTGGGCCTAGATTAGGTAAGTAAGCCCCCAACCTTCACGTTTCCCCTGCGAATGAAATTATACCCTCGGCCCCTCCCCCTTCCCCCCCTTCCCCCCCGTTCCCCCAGTTGGCCCCCTCACCCCCAATCCCGCGCGAATAATCCACTTTCCCGCCTGCCGCTTCCCGCTTCCCGCTTCCCCGTATGATGTAGTAGTGTATCCGCACACTCGCACACTCGCACACTCATACTGAGGTGAGGTCGGACAGCGAGAGAGAGAATTTGGAGAATACGGGAACTACAAAAGTAAGTAGTGCCTTAGAGCCATCTGAGGTACGCCGTACGGGCAGCCGGAACCTAACCAGGCCAGCCTCGCCCTTTCGCACTTTGCGACGAACTGGACCCCTTCCCGTTCACTCTCCAATTCCCTCATTCTTCCCGGCCCTGACGAATCCGGCCCTCGAATCATTTACGGATATCTGACATGGCCCATCTGCACTGCACTGCACTGCGCTGCATCGCGCCCATCCCTCCCTACGGAATTAGACCTCGCCTCGCCGTCCTCACCACGGAAGCTACCTACCTGACTTTTTATCTTTTGTCGTCATATCTTTTGTCTTCTCTCTTCCCAAGCCTCCTTCCTTTGCACTTCGGAAATCCCACACCCCCTGGTCCAGAATGTACTGTGGGAGTGTATTCAAACGAATAGGTGCTGCAAAACTTGACAAACCGCTCCCCTTCTCGGCTTCTCTCCACTAGACCCCCCCCCCCCCCTCCCTGTCACCCTGCGGCCTGCCCACCCCCCCTTGCCCCTTCGACACGACACGCTTTTTTATCTCCATCCAATGCCACTTCCTTTCCGCTCCGCCCACGTCTGCAACTTTTGCCCGTCCACCTCTCGAGGCCCACTACCTTCACCCTCGCCCTTCCTATTCTCAACCTGAATCGCCGCCTCTCATGTATTACAATCGCCTTGTCTGCCTTACGGTACCATGACTCTCCCGACTTTAGTCTTCCTAATCTCAGCCCCAGTCATCCCCATCGGCCTTCGTCGCTCAAACTGAGTACGGAGTACAGTCATTGTCTTCCAGCACCAACAAACAGTCACGTCCACGTCCACAACACATGTTGCCCGCACAATCGCAAGTCCTGCCATCGCTATCCGTATCTTATTCTCATTCCTCCGCCCCGCTGGCCCCGTCATCCCGTGCTTCTTCTGCTGTACGACGAGATACCCATCTCGTCGCGTATCGCACGTCCCAGCTCGGTTCCTGGTATTCTACCCCAGACGTCGAACCCCGAATCTAGGCACTTCGCCCAGACCCACGCCTTGATCTTCCCGGTCCCGGTCCACCTCCCGGTTTTTGGCCTGCTATCTAAAGAGCCGTCCCCGCCAACCCTCACAACATTCGGCTTCCCTTTCTGTTTACTCACCCTTCGCTACCTTACCTTATCAAGCCCTTGCTTCTTGGTTGGTCTTCTCTAGTTCCAACCACCATCGCTGGCCTTCAACTATCAACATCCGCCATCTATTCCATGGCTCAACCATTCAGCTTCACTGCATCGTATCCAGTGTCTCCCGCTCGCCCTCTCTGAGTTAATTCGCCCTAATAGTCACTGGCACGCTCGACTGTAGTCCCACTCTACTCTACCCTGCTGTTTTAGCAGCCGCTGGTCTCATTTGAAGAAGGCTTGCCACTTAGAACACCAGCCTCAACTCACCCTTCATGTCGACGACTTCATCTCCCTCGCCGTTGCAGGGCCCAACTGGCCGCGTCGATGAGAAATCTCTGCCCCAGGGTCAGTGCCGCTATATATTGTTGGTCCCTGGCATCAAAGGCCAACGATGCGCTTGCGTTCACTTTTCTCTGAACCGATCCACGCCCGGTGCCAGTTGCGACTGTGGACACATGGCCTGCTACCATGTCAAGACCCCAGAACCATCATCTACCAGAGAGGAGGTTGAGCTTTTGAAGCAGCGACTTCAGGCTCTCGAAGACCAACTTGACCAGCAGAGACAAGGTGGCCTTGGAACCGTTGTTGCCAGGGTGAGCGAGCTGGAAGATCTCGTCGACAAGAGTCGTGAAGAGATAGGTCAGGAAATCAAGGGTTCTTATCGAAATATCAACAGAGTATGGCAGTCTGTGGAGCAGCTTGAGCGCCAAACCTGTCATCTTCGGGAAACCCTACGTTCTCAGTCAGAACACATGGAACGTGTTGACGTACAGTTGGGAAGCGTCACCAATCGACAAATGGAGCTGTTCGACGCCGACGAGAGCATCGAAGAGAGACTGGAACAGTTGGAGGCGGATCATGATTCTTTGGCCAGTCGAGGTGGCCAAGTCTCGGACACGACAGAGGAAACAACCCTGTTACGGTCAGACGTCGTGATGGCCTCCAACCCGCAACCGCCGCCGCTGGTAGCCACGCTGTACCCACAGCCCGAGTTCGGGGTCCATCTAAGTGACACGCACGCAGCTGCCCATATCTCGCCAGCCATGAGCGCCGCTGATTCCAACATCAGTTCAAGCAACTGCGGGGCCTGGACAGTTCATATCTCACTTCTGCCGACAGCCTCTCAGCCTTTCCCTTTCGAAAGAGACACCAACGCCTACAAACGCTGCTTATCCCGAGGCCTTCACCGCACTGTGGTAGTTGGCGGCCCAGATAGTGACTCTTTCGTTGAGGCTGTTACAAAGTCTTTCGGCAGCCTGCTCAGAGGACGATCCTGGATGCCTCTACAGGCCAAGCTTTGCGACGCAGAAAAGCTCCAAGGGCTTCCCATGCTCAGGCCACTGGACTCGAGACTCGTCGACTGCGACTATGATCTCAACTTTCTCAAGAGATTCTGCGGTGTCTGCGAGGCCAACGGCAAGATCGATTCTCTATATATAGCGATGCGCCAGGACAAATTTTCATGGCATTTTCTACGAAATTCTCCGATATTCATAGAAGGTCTCGAGAATTGCTGGACTTACGATCATTTCTTGGATCCAAACGACCCAGTTGAAGACGACCATATGGAAGAGCATGATCGACCTTCCGCCGGAGACATTGTTCCGAGTCTCCCAAACTTGAAACGAGCGGCATCCGAGATGTCGCGGACAGCTGGCTTAACGACTGCAACGACAGGCGGCGATTCCGACGGCTCTCGAACCAAGACACCCCGGACCACTTGCCTACCTAGTCTAGTTGAATCGCGCAGGCGTTTGGAGACAGTGTGAGACACTTGGTCTCTTTTCCTTACCATTACTTTCCCCCTTCGCCGCCTAGCTTTGGCCTGTGGGATCTGTTTTTACTGCATTTTAGACGAGTGGCTGGCGTCCAAGGCCATCTGTTCGAAGCAGCAGTGGCGAATGTTGCGCGGGCGCCAATGCTTCACGAACGAGGTCTTTCGAGACGATAGAAGGTCGATCCACCTGATAGAGGACATTTATACCCATTTCATTGATGTACGCCTGAGGGCACAAAGAAGCACTGTTTTTGTCAGTTTCAGACATATGTACAGGGGCTTCGGAGATGCGGAAAGAGACAAAAAGTCCTTTGGGTAGCTTAGTTGATAGTCTAGGATAGTCTGGGTCTGTTGAACAAAAGTAATCTGTCACACTGCTGTGCTTAATTTGAGGTGCAATGCAACTGCAGACTTTCGGTGTAGAAGGCCGATTGTTATTTGCGCAAAATTGATAGCTCCTGCCTGTGAAATGCATTTTGGTTTGCCGGAAAAGGCCGGATCGGAGGATATTCGGACCACCCGGAAGTTGAAATGGCTGGCAAGGCAGGACTCGGAGCCGGTGAGATCCGGGAGGTGCCGAAAAAAGTGTCTGCCACCCCGTATCAACTAAGCCAAAAGTGGAAATGGTGCCGCTCAGCACGGTCAGCCTCATTCTCCACAAACACTAAGCGGCCGAAGCTCCAAGCTCCGTCGAGTAGACGTCGGGTTGATCAATAGTCCTTTGACCACGTACTTCCTCTTTACTTTTTCTTAAATCTGAGCCAACCCTTTCCTCTAGAAACCTACCACCTCTGAGTCTAGGAAACAACAACCGCTTCTCCGCCTGCCCTTTCGAAGTGCTCCATTACGGCCGAACAAGCTTGATTTCTCGCGAGCGCGTCGAGGATCTCGCGATCTGCTTCTTCATTCTCGCCCCTCCACAACACAAGCGCATACCGTCGCATATTAAATCAAAACCGGGATCGCCATGGATTACGATATCAATATGGACGATATCGCCGACGGTTTTGCACCTCCGACGGCGACAATTGGTGACAACACAGTACGTAGCGTGACTGACGGAGCCTTTCGCATCTCATCTGCTTGCTTGCTAACCTACAACGTCAACAGAGCATCGCACAACCCGCCGTAGCACCGTCTCCCTCGAACGAACGCGACCTAGAAGATTCAACTATCGTACGGAACAAGGTACACATTCGAGGCCTGGACACATTGACCACGGATGACATCAAAAACTATGTGAAGAGTCACTTTGGTCCCCCAGAGAGAGTTGAGTGGATCGATGATGAATCCGCAAACCTACTCTTTGGGTCGGAAAGTACGGCGCAGGAGGCTCTAGCAGCATTGAGCGCCATCGAAATCGCCGATGTTACTCAATTGTCTCCCAAAGAGACGATTCCAGCCAAGGCAGTCACATCCCACCCAGATGTCAATCTTCAGATTCGGTTCGCCGTGGTTTCCGACAGGAAGATTCGAGGCGCCGCCGAGCGAAGTCGATTCTACCTGCTGCACCCCGAATTTGACCCAGAGGAGAGAAGACGACGTGAGGGAAACAGGAACAGATATCGCAGTCGGGACGAAGATGACCGTCGACGCAACGGCCGTGGAAGAAATCAACGCGACCGAGACTCGAGCCCCGAGGTGTTCCACGCGAGCATGTACGACGACGATGAGGACACACTGGCAGACCGCAGGCCAGCACGTCACCCGAGATCTCGCTCAAGAGACTCGACTTCGCGCGAAGAGCGGTCCTACTCGTCTCGCAATCAGGAAAAGGAGCTGTTCCCTAGTCGGTTATCAGGAGCAGGAAAGCGACAACGGAATCGTTCTGCTTCACCCATGCGGGATCTCGACGGTGACGCAGCAATGGATGTGGAGGCAGCACGCGCGCCGAGGGCCAGCAACCGAAACAACAGGGAAAGGGCATCCGGTATCAGGGATCGTTTGGCCGAGGACAACACTTCCAGGGAATTGTTTCCCACCAAGGGCTCGTCGATGGGCAAGACGCATATGGACAGGGTTATGGACGGCGCGGATGAAGCTACGCGAATCATGCAGCAAAAGATGAGCATGAGCAACGATCGCGCCGGCAAGAAGGACTTATTCGATCGGGACAGAACCGACACAACGAGTTCCGGTGCTGGATTTTCCATCAAAGGCGCGGCGGGTGCGAACGTCAAGGAGCTGTTCCCGAGCCGCTTTGGAGGTGGCGGTAATACTGGAAAAGAACTCTTTGCCGACAAGTTGGAGGGCCGTGGCCGTCGGCGGCAGAAAGCCGAGGACCTGTTCTCGTAGCGCTTCAACACTTTGGGCGAGTACGCAAACATCTTTCCAGTTGGCAGGACGAAAGAGACTATCTTCACGACGAGTTTGGAAAAACAGCGGACGGCGTGCGCTGTTCATTAGATACCATAGAGGTCTGAAATTTCGCCATGGGCCAGCGCGGTAGAAGACGAACTTTTTTGCAGCAACTGGTGTGTTCTAGGTTGGGTATTGTGTGTGTGAATCTATCTAGATGGCCGCGTACATGGTGACTCGCCAGAGTTCTCACGGTTCCCGCAGGAGTTTGCATTGGATTTGACGCCCGTTCAACTGTGACGCGTCTACAGCTAGGAAGGGAGGCATGGGCACATTTCCATGCTTTCGAGCTTTCGTTGGACGTTGGAGGGCGCCTCTTGTGTATTCATCCTCAGGAAAAGAACATCGGTACGAATCAGACGAAGGAAGACGTTGTTTGGGGAGCCGCGGCGAAGCAGGGCAAGAGGCGCTCCTGCCCCTTCTTGAAGTTCTCTCATCGAGTAGCAACGAAGGAAGGCATGCCTGGTCTGATGCGCTGGCAGCTTCCAACCAGTGGAACGCGCCTGACTTCGATCCCTCGTCCGCTCTTGCCCGCTTCTTCCTCCCGTCCGCATACATCGCGGCATCTCATCCAAACTTCACCTTCATATCTTACTCTTCACTTCACTATCACTCACGGTGATTTTCACAGAGAAGCCGCACGCTCTTCTGTCCTCTCATCTCAGCAGGACATTCACCTTTCCAAGAAGGCAAACTTGGGTCGTCAACAATAATCGAGGCGCGCGTCACACGGTCACTGGACAACATCATTAATTCCACGTCTCTTGTGGGCTCCTTGCAAACTCACAGCCTTCGTTGCACCTCACTACGTTGGTTTTCTTGACCCCGCGGTACTCGATACCGATTCGTTGACACACCTCATCACCAGCATAGCCTAGCCGTCGAAGGATTTCCGCTATCAACCGACATGGCGGACTTCCTATGGTCAAAACCGCTGCCTCCCAGGCGAAGAAGATCAGAGCTTAACCTGAGCAATCTGCCCCCAGATGAAGAAGAATCTGCTGTACACCTCGGTGTTCCATCTATCCGATCACGCCAGTGGAGGCCCATCCCCCGCATTGCGAGTCTCGATGTTCTGAGTGCTGCTAGGTTGGGAACGAGTAACTGCCCAAGCATCAGATCAGACGGCTCGCAGTCGTCCTCTCATCGGCTGTCGCCATCACCAGCAGAGCCAACCGAGCCAGCCGAGACAGTATGGTATCAAGAGCGAGATGAGACAGAACGTGCCCTGTCTCTGGAGCAGATGATCAATGCTCTACACTACACGATGATGACCAAGAACGTCCTCGATCCGGTTCCCAGAGAGTATAACTCTTACATCTTGCATTTGTTGGAGGGCTATTGGGACCTGCAGGAGCGGCTGAAGAAGACAGAGCAGGAGCTCGCAGAGGAAAAGGAGACAAAGTTGAAGAGTCTCGAAGAATTCACGAAGATGTCTGAGGAATGGGAGGTGAAAGAGGCCGACTTCCGCGCTGAGATTAAACGCATGGAACTCGTCCTCGTCGATGTAGCCCCTGCAGGTGTCGGTGCAGTGGTCCTGGCCAGGTCTGGCAGTCTCGTCGACAGAAGCGCAAGATCCTCTCGACTCTTCAAGGCCAGGATCGAGAAGGCCAAGGAGAGTCCCCAGAAAGGTACATCACACTTCAACAGCGGCGAGCACTCTTATCCCCTTTGCTAATCAGGTACGCGCAGGCGATGACAGCCCCAACAAGGCTGACAGCCTGGATAATCCACGGGTCTCCGTGGGCTCTGGAAGTCCCCGCCTGAACCACCGAACCTTCTGTAAGTACAGAGAAAAGCCTGCCCTCTCATTGTCTACCGTGGAGATTCTAATAGCTCAGTGTCAATGCAAGTTAATCTGGATGACAACGCCGATGTTGAACTGAGCAAGGGGCTGAGAAAGGCTGAGCGACGACAGCAACGGGCCTCGAAACGAGGGAAGAAGAAGCGCCTCTTCCCGCCGGTCAACGTGGCATGGGACAGTTCAGAGGAGGAGGAAGCGTACAAGTCAGCATCGGTTCAGGAGAAAGCCAAGTTGTCTGGCTTGGAGTCTACCAAGTCTCGACTATCACGTCGAGCAGCACAAACGGCGCAGAGCATCACCCCCGAATCGTCCGCAATGAAAACCGCCGCAACCGGAACGATTGAGCATGACGATGCACATTATCGGCATGATAGCACACCCGGTGCCGGCATGGATTCGGCCGCGACGGTCATACGGACAGATGAGCGGCCGATGGGTACTGACCCGGATGGCATGACGGCCACGACTGCCCGTAGAACCTCAGGGGTCCGCCGCCACAGGAGAGACTTCTCTTTCGATGCTGGAGAAGATAGGGTCCAGCTGCAAGCCCTGGCAGGCACTACTAACTTTGCCTACGGAAACGATGGCTACTTATGCGGCCCCGGGGCTTTCCCTCTCGAGCGCCCCCTTTCGTCGGACAAACAAGCTTCGATGGCATCAGTCACTGCAGGGCTTTCGAATCAGCGAGACCAGATACTTCACGGCGATACACAGGAGTCGCTAGGCAAAGGCAAAGCCAATACCCTCGGAACCCGCTCTGAGGAAGAGCAAATTGGTGCAGAAGGCGGCAGGCTGGCCACAAGACCTAGCCTCCTAGATAGACGGCGAAGCTCCCGCTCCCACAAATCGTCCCACGAGTCCTCGAGCAATAACCAGAGAACCTCCAGCGATGAGGCCAGTGGACACGGCAGAACCAGCTCAACGGAACGAAGTACGACACACGCGAATCAAGCACAGATAGCAGCAAAGGAGGCATTGAAGCGGGTGGGGTCCAGAGGCTAGAAGCAGATATTATGTGGTTGTGATGGTTGCGGTATTTTGCTCCGAAAGGGCGGAGTTTTTAGCAGGATGTACTTGCTCGAGGAGGCAGGGCAGCCTACGCTTGCTACGGTAGGTATCAAGGCCATGTAGACATCTCTCTTCTCCTCTCTCCTTGCCTCGCATGAAATAGCTGCAAATCGTCCCTCTATGTGTGTCAATCGTGCCCATAACCCATGGAACGAGAGTCTAGATCGAGCCCATCATGGACATGACGTGGTCCATCGGATGAATGGTGAACTTACGCCCCCCCCCCCCCCCCCCTTCCTCGAAGACTCCTTACTCGCGCTTGCATGAAGCCGTTTTCTGTGGGAAGGAAAAGCTGGCGTGTTGATTTTCTGTACCAGACCAGAATGGGCTGTTAAGTTCCGTAACAGGCTCCAAACTTGGAAAGGGAAAATGGATATGCCACGTGAGCTCCCTGGGCCTGCCTGCCCACCCCGGAGACTACTACTTCTTTTTTTGGGCTTCGACTTCCACCGAGAGCGAAAACCATGACCCTTGCTTTGAACAACTACCAGGGTTCCGGAGAGAAGCTCGCGAAGCGAAGGTCCAAAGGGGGGAGAATTGAATCCAAACCCCTGAACAGATCACCAGGCCAAGGCCGTGGAAGGAAAGAGGATACGACTGCGGGCCGTGTGCAACGGGCCGAACGCGGATGGATGTGTGCAAGCTCATGGCTCGAAATGTCCGGGCCAAAGGAGGAAGAGAAAGGCCTCTTTTTTTGTCACTTGTCGTATATCATATACTCACAAATATTCCCCCGTTCCCGGCACGCTTGATGAGATGTTATATGCTACCACAAGACAACCCGCCCTGATAGGTTGTCACACCATGCAACACTTGAAGTCTTCTGATGAAGAGTGGTCGATTCCAAATACACCCCCAAAAAATGTGATGTGATGAAAACACTGGGTAGGTATCAAGACAAACTCCTCGCCCAACCCCAGATCAGTAAGCAATATCCGGCACGGCGGCCGGCGGAACGGTATCGGGCATGGGAAGGGGCCACTACTAAACAACGGACTAGTGAAAAGGAAAGACCACAGGAAGACCCCAACCAAGCCATAAACAGTCGGGAGAGCCGGGGGGGGGGGGGGCTCTCTGCGCTCTCGGCGGTCGGAGAAAAACCAACGGAACGCTACTAAACTCCCGCTAGCGCCCAGGACTCAACATATGTATAGAAAAGCCGACAGTCTAGACTTCTAGACTGGGGGAGACCGGGGGGGTCTAGCCTCGCCCAGTCTTTGGGGGGCGGACGGAGGGGAATGCATTTCTATTAGCGGAAGACCGAGAAAAGTCGCGAGGAGACGTAGAGAGGGTAAACAAACTTGCACCGATGCGGTCACTTACTCCGGAGGAGAGGCCCGCCCCTTTGCCCAAGCAAAAGCAGAAGCCATTCTGCGCGCGCACCGCGGAGATGGACGGACACGGACACGGCCGGACGCGGGAAGGGGAGTGGGAAGAGAGGGTGTGTAGACGGATGAAAAGTCAAGAAGGGGGAAAAGGGAAACGAAACCGGTTCTTGTAACCTTGAACGCCGGTCGATTAGCGAAAGGCGTTTTGTTACCAGATTCCTGGGTCATTCTGTCGGGTGGTTTTCTAGCCCAATCCCAGGCCTCCTAGAGTCTTCTCTCTCTCCACTCGTCTAGCTTTAAACCGTGGCTACCTGGAAGTCTGGCCAGGACCTTGATCGTGAGTAGACCGTTGCGGTGTCTCTAGGACTGCCCAAGCCTCCGGCGATTGCATCCTTCCAGGTGCATGTTGTATTGCGCGACGGCTTGACGGGGCCGGGGATGACCGCATCCAATGGTTGCGAGTCGCTATTTCATTCGCTCAACGAACCTCTTGAGCACCCATCGCCAGAGCGGCTTCGAACCTCGTCTGACTAAGGCAGCACTGTTAGAGTCTTGGTCCTACTCATGTACGGATAGCCTCTGACATCCGGGTTAAAGGATGTCGAATGGACGACTAGGTAGAGGAGACCGAGGGAAAGTTCACCTCCTTTTCCCGCCTCTAGTTGACTCTTGAGTGACTTCACATGGCCATCAACAGCGTTGATGGCTCAGTTGGCAACTGGATAGTGTTGTGGAAACGACGCTCTTTCATAGCAAGACTGATATCGACCACGGATTGTAATTCCATCCCGAGATCATCATCACCACTGGATGAGAATGAAGAAAGGAAAATGGAAAGATGACAGGCAATGTGAACCAGGATGGCATGTTCGCCATGGAAGCCTCTCTCTCTCTCTCTCTCTCTCTCTCTCTCTCTCTCTCTCTCTCTCTCTCTCTCTCTCTCTCTCTCTCAATCCTAGATGTCTGAAAGGGCGTCTTAGACGCAGAAAGTCACAACTGGTCGGAGACTTCAAGCCGTTCTTCTTTGCTTCTCGCGTATTGGCTGCCATATAGCCACCATGTATAGCTTAATCAGGGGACAACCGTTTGCGTGAGGGCGTGCTTATTGGACAAAACCTCATCGGCTCGGTGGATGAAGTATAACGTCCCCCGGGCACGGCACGGCGTGGCACCTCAGGGTCTGACACAAGAGGAATATCTCCCAGCAGAGAAGGTTTCAAGGCGTTGTTCCGCGTGGAAGGGTGCTCACAATCTGCGGCTCTCGAGGACCCTGGGGATCCAAGTGCAAATAGAGGCGTTAAGGGTAGCCTCGAGCATAGACGGCCTGCTACACAAGGTCGTTAGTTAGCTAATGTGTATCGCCAAGCCGCGAGGCACCGCACAAGGACAATTGCATTAACTATCTACCTTGGTTGGCGTAACCTACACGTCTATTGCCTGCTGCCGCGTATGGCATCGGATTTGTGTGATTCATGCCGTGAGTCTGATGTTTCCCTTTTTCAGGATGTCGTTGTCGTCGTCATCCTCCTCCTCCTCCTCCTCCTTGAAGTCGTCTGTTTCCATGTCTGTGCCGTCGGAACCCGGGTCGTACAACCCGCGAGTGTCAATGCATGTCAAGTCCGTGTGAAGAGTCAAGACACCAATTTGTTTGTTGGACAGCTAGAGCCCCAAGGGTCCTTTGGGCCCGTAAAACCATAAAAAAGAAACTCTTCGCGTCCCAAACGTTGGAAAGTAAAAAATAAAATAAAAAGAATGACAAATTTTCAGGAAAATCTGATAAACCACACCAAAGTCAAACAAATGCTGTCATGTATTGTGCGGCTGACCGAGCGCCACTATTGTGATTCGGACCAGAGTCGTGGCTTGAGCCGGTTCCCCGATTATTTTGTTCCCTTCAGACGCATAGTTCAGTTCACTTCGTGACTTCAATTCTGGTCAGTCGCATAATAAGGAGACGGTGGCAGTGTAGATGTGACTGTGACTTCGTATCGCGATTTTGAGAAGGGGGAAAGGCACCAATGGTATTTTGTTATATCTGTGCACACGGCATGAAGTCATGCTAAAATTCCTCTAGCGTAGTTGGCGACGAACGGTACCGCGAGGCAAAGAGTGCGACACCTGTGGGATGTTGGCGCCTTGAAAGAGACATTGAGCTGCGGCTGACGCGCGCCATCGTCTGGTGGTATCGTGTAGTTTCACTGTAATTGCGTCGTGATGCAGCCACTTGTCTCCTTTCCTCACTCCCTACCTCTTCCTGTCTCTCCTTTCTCGTCATCAGCTCAAGTTGATAGTCTACCGTGATTATCGATAGCAGAGGTTCAGCTCAATGCAAGTAGGTAGGCGGCGGCGGCTCGATGGGGTGATTGACGGGTGGTAATCGCAGTAGGGACCTGCATTGACGGTGTGGCTGGATGAGTACGTGCGAGAGAGTGTTGCGTCGATGGCAATGTAATAGTGAGATGTGATGCTGTCGTCGCTTTCTGGCACTGACCATCGTCTCTTGTCATTTTGCCCTACAGACCAGGTACGTGAGTACGTACTATGGGATTTTAGCTCACCCGGAAGAGGCACTCTTGGCACTGACTGTTTGACTCGACACTCACACACGTCAGGGTTGGGAAGGACCAGGGTGGGGCGATATTTGTCATGATGGAATTTGCGCCCAAGATAGCTTCACCAAGCCTGTCTCGCTCTGTTCGCTCTACCGGCTTTTCTACTTGATCGCAGGTCTATTTGGGACTAGTGTCTAGGGTCTCTCTTGTACCGGAGCCAAGCTCCGTGAAATGTGGCGTTACTAGAGGCGTGTGGCTTTAACCAGCTGGAGTAAAACAAGGACAAACTACGTGCTGACGCCCTTTTTTAGCTGGCAAGGGTCTCGGGAGATGATATTCGTGAGAAAAATCTGGTCGGCATCTAATTACAGAGATGCATTATTTGGATGCTACGTCCGGCGATGATCAGGAGGCTAAGGTACCTGAGATTTCCGTTCGTATACGGGTTGAGACAAGAAGTCACGGATGCGCTATCAGACAAAGAACAAGCATAGCACAGTAACTTGGTAGGAAAGAGAGAAACCAGGGAAGAAGCTGGGAAGTGAGGCTGAGGCTGTGAGGCTTCTTCGAAACATGGGTAATCCGTACGGAGTATACCTACCGTATGCACAGGAACGAAAACAAGAAGTAAGTTGCCAGGGCAAGGTGCTTCATCCGCGCCGATCAAGTATTCGTAAACGTCCTGCAGCAAGAGGGCGGCAAGTAGAGCGAGCGAGCGGGGTGGGAGAGTGGGAGAGTGGGAGAGTGGAAGGTGGATCTCTCCATCATGTCTGGGCTGTGTGGTTCCTGAATGACAAAGATTTTGGCTCACATTATCTGGCTGTGACGGTTGCTGTTCCTTTTTCCTGTTGTCTGTTGCACGCCGAGATCGAATCGGGGTGAACCACAGCCGCGGATATGAGTAGTGATATCCGTTCTGCAGGTCTGGGAACCGGTGAGGGACCAAGTTTTGGAGAGACTGTTTTTGTCATCCCTGTCGTGGAACCATCGGGTCCGGGGGGGGGGGGTGGGGGCGTGGTTTACCAATGCAGTCGAGGTTGCATTCCCATTTGCATTTGCAGTTGATCTGGAACTTGGGGTTCGATGGGATTGTGTTCCTTTACCATGGGATGGGATGGGATGGGGGCCGGCCTGTTTGTCCATCTCAGTCTTTGCACAACAAACAAACAAACAAACATGCTGGGTATCGTGTGTCTAGGACAGGGAGGAACACGGGGGCGTGTTGCCAATCATTAACACACCTTGCCTTCTCGCCCTGAGTAGTGAGTACTATTAGGTATTGGCAGTTACGTTGAACCAGCCCGGGCGGGCTGGGCTGTAGGTAAGTCACGATAGTACAGATACGTATCCTTACATATACGCATGTCGGGCGTACGTGCTCGAGGAAAGACAACGGCGTGAACGGGTAACCTGTTGCCCTACGGGAACTTGCGAGTCGGTATGCAGTGATGCGTGCACGTATCGTCGGTGGTCACTAATCAACAATGTTCGGCAGGGGCTAAGAAAAGGAAATAACGGTCTTCTCTGGCGAGCATGTTGTCCAGTGTTAGTGCTGTGTATGGCAGGCAGTACCTATGCACGTCTGCACCGTACGTGCGGTTACCTCGCAGAGCAGCAACGGGGCAGGCAGGCCGCAGACTCGCAGCTGCAAGATCGGGAGGCCCGTCTGTTCGCACAGCTATCCAAGGAAGGAAAGGTCTGGTTAGGTAAAGCAAGTCAAGAGCGGATATGACGTGCGGACAATGGATGGGGCAGAATGGATTCTACAGCACTCCGTCCACCACAGGAACCACCCTGTCGTGTCCATGGCAGGCCTGCAACGGCAGCAGAAGCTGTCTACACTCCACAGTCAGAGTCCATCAGATATGACGAGTCTGATGTGAGAAAGAGAGAGAGCGGTCGGTTGGGATGTCCTGTTGTGTCAAGACGGAAACGACGCGCACAGCAGAAAGCAACGCCAACGGGAATCTCGCTTGACGTGTCAGGACTCAGGACTCACCTCTCAGGGCCTTACCCGCGCACCTTACCTTACGTACGGGGAGCCAATTGCAAATACCTTACCCGCCTGGCCCTGGTCTAGCCTCTTGTCTCAGACACACAAGAGACCCAGTCCAGGGGCGAGAGACAGCAGGCACCCGTATAACGGCTGAAGGGCTGGGTGGCTGGCCGGTGGGTTGGCACGTTGCAATCTCGATATGATGCTGCGCATGCGGAGCACCGACCGGGAGTGAGAGTGTGCGAGTGTGTACTTCGTACCAGGTGTGTGATGCGGCCAAAGAGGCGGTGGGTAGGTACAAATAGCCTGTATTCGTAAGGTAACGGGTTGGTTGGTGCTTCATGGATGATGGACAGGCCAAGTTTTGTTTCCCATCGACCCTTGTCCCCCTGTTGTCGGGCTGAGATTGAGATTGGAATTGAAGCTTGCCTGTGCTTGCTTGCTTCCTCCCACGCCTCTCCCCTGTCGCGTGGTGTTCACCATGTATTCGTGTGTTCCCCGTACGCCGTGTGCGGTGTGCGGATATTCGTAGGTAGCTACGTTGGTGTAGTCCCGAAGAATACAGAACTTCTCTGCAAATCCCACTCTCCTTCTCTTGTTCGATGGTCTGGGGATCAAGTATTCGTGCTCCGTACTTACGTACTGGAGAGCGGAGCATATCCCCATATACCGCATGCACTCTGCTTACGCTTTCTAAAATGGCGACGGCCTCGCTCACCCCTGCTCGTGAGGCTTCCCGCTATGAGAGCTGGCACCATCCTAGTCGTCTCCCAGCTCCCAGTCCCCTTGTCCCCGTTCGCCTGCGCTTATGCCGCTGGCCGACCGTTGATCGACGGGAGCCCATTGGCCCGGGGCGCCGGCCATGGGGCGAACATGTTCCATGGCCGTGCCGACCCAGAGTCGTCTATCTTACGAATGCTACTCTATATTACATTGTATCCGTACGGATCCAACCCAATTCCTACGGATACTGAACACTCCGTAGGGACTGTTCCATTGAGAAAATCGGCTGGACCCAGGTGGAATTGCATCTCAGATTCAACCTCACATCGTTTATCCAGCTGCTGCCCCCCCCCCCCCCATGAAATTTGGTGTGTCCCTCATGTCTCTCTGTACACCGGTTTCCACTTGACTTCACCCCTCCCCCCCCTTTTTCTTTCGTTCCCGTCTCCTCATTGACCACCAAAACCCGTCTAACCCTCTCGGGCATGATCACCAACTGCAACGGCACCCGTATTCCCACAGCGTCGCAGTGGCAGCCAAGAACCGCCTAGGTCCCCCGCTGCCCTTTCCCCCCCCCCCCCCAGAACACCCTCCACCGAATTCATGTTGAGATTGGATCCTAGTAACGCAGATGATCGCCGGGCTTCCGATGTGATGTGGAATCATTTCGCCAAGGAGGTCTCTCAGCTGCTGAACCCCTGGCCCGCCTGCGGATGCTCACAAACTGCGTGGGAGAGCGAGCGAAGAACTGCCATGTCCTTGTGGTTAGTATGGTTTGGTTTAAACATCCGTCCGTAGTGTACGGAGTACGAACACACTTTTTTTTCCCCTCTCGTCATGTGGAGACAGCAACGGTCTCTTTCGCCCGTATGGTACGCACGTACTTTCCATGTTCTCATTTTATTTTCCCTTGATGAAGGCCCTGGAAACCCTTTCGTTCCTCCATCTCTGCTCATTCATATTGCTACGGTGCAAATGAAGTCCACAGACATGGATGCAACTTGGAGGAAGACACCGGTGACGATGCGTGCTGAGAAAGTAATCAAAGACCAATGACGACGACGACAAGGAGGAGAACCGATGCAAGATCTGCATACGTAGAACGAAAAGTGCAGGAGGAGCGGCTGCCCGTTTTTTTCTTCCCTTCTCAAGCTGCACGCTGTGATGCGGGTGACGGGTGACGGGTGTCGGCTTGCCCGAACGATCCAACGTCTTTTTCTTGTGGTTGCAAACGGCCCGTATGGCTGGGTCTAGTCTTCCTGGTGCATTCTGGATATGGGTCGCCGCGGACCAGGCCATCACCCTACTGGTGGACGTCGTGGTTCTCACTGGGCGGGAGTCTGAAACGGTCTACGGTGACTTGGTAGCTGCGCCGGCGCCTCGGACGACAACGCCTCTCATCCTCCCTAGGCCCACGATTGGTCGAGTTGAGATGGAGGACTCGGCATCGTCCATGCGTGCGTACAACACCTGTGTGGTTAATTACGAAGTGGGTGCCACGGAGACAAGGCACCGGGTTACTGACAGATACTATATCCGTACTTGGAGAACGACTGGCTGGTTTTCCCTGCCTGTTGCTCCATGACCAAGTTTGCTTCGATCGTTCGCCCTATCCGTAGATCTGGTTTGCATCTGTTGGTACCTTGATCAACCAGGTTGAAAACGACTGGTCCCTGGTGTACCTGTCAGCTTGCTTCTTTTGACTCCGGGTTCTCTTTTCTTTATCACATACACACGGCCTTGATTATCGTGGCCGCGGGGCGGGCTGAGATGTCGATACAAATTACGTAGATCTTAAGAGACGTAATAAAGTGACAGGCTCCAGGGATGAATAGGGCGAGTGTGCGAGGCTGGCTGGCCACTGGAAGGATGGGCTGCCCCCACTGTGTGGTATCTTTCTGGGCCAGAAGAGCCGCAGATCCTATTTGATCCCATCAGCACGGCCTCGGTGCCAATTCGCTGCCAAGTTGCTGCCATCCGCCGATTGTACCAGGGATCGCCAACGGGACACAAACATTCCGAGGGCGGGCGACCAGGGTCCGGCGGAGATCACGGTGCACCGTGGCACCTAGTTTTTTTCCCCCCCTCCTCCAGTAATTGTCGTCGTCCCCATTGATGTGCGACTGAATGCCTCGCCAACTTCTCAATGGTTGGTGCGAGCGCGCGCGTGTACGTGCGGTGCGAATGCGTGGGTAGACGACGACGACGACGACGACGACAACATTGACGGCCGGTGGCGATGCAGCAGGCAACAGACATTGGACGAAAAAGCTCCTTCAGCCTCGGCAGCAGATGTAAGTCAGTGCCAACTATCTGCCAGCGTGGGTTTGATTGATTTGATAGACGTCGCTGCCGCGCTGCCTTGGCCACGTCTGTGCTCCTCCTCTGGATGGTTTCGGTTGCCATTCGTCATTGCTGGAGGGGATGGGTGGGAGATGGAGACTTTTGTTGGTACGCGGGAAGAGAAGAGGGGTCTCTTCACGTCGTCCTTGCGTCGTTTGAAGAATTGTCAGGACAAAGCCGCAAGAGCAATGGTGAGTCGGGTCGGGTTGAGTTGATCATCTCGAGTCGAGTCCCTCCATCTCTTTGACGTCGTCTCGTCTCCGGATTTAGGGATCGGTCTCGAAGAAGGAGGGGCGGTGGTGGGGCCAGACGAGAATGGAAGGGAAAGATGGGAAAGATACATCGGCCAAGGTCACTTTGTCACTCTCCATTTTGTCCTCTCTCCCACACACTCTCTCTCCTGCCGCCGTCTTCGTCTCCCCTTCCCCGCGGGCAACCTTGGGTACCTGAGAGAGGTAGGCACGTAGGTAAGGTAGGTAGGTGCAGAGCAGCTTGGAGAAACATGTATGAGAGAAGGTACGGGCTCGCATTTTCCATGGGGCATACCTGCCTATGACCAACCACAAGAACAGAGTTTCCAAGTCCTCCGTAGCTATTCGTATTTTTTCATACTCAAACTCACCAACAGGGGACACCGAGGGAATGTTTTTTTTTTTTAATATTTTTAAAACTTCTTCTATTCTTCTCCCCCCTCTGGACAACTACTTGGGGTAACTGTGGTGAGATTGGCCGACGTCTTTATTTGACTTTTCAGAGAGCAAGGGAGTGAGAACGAGGGAGGGTTCTCGGCCGTGGTGCATCCCCCCCTCCCCCCCCACTGGCTTCCCCTCCAATTACATGCGGCTAAATCTTCATGTCGATTCCGCATCTGGCCACTGCCTCAAATTGATTGAATAAGTCGTCTTGTCTTGGCACATGTTCCGTTGCCGGAAAGTATTCATACCTTACTCCGCTCTCCGTAGATAAACGCGTGCGTCTACCAGGTTCTTGCTGAGAAACGAAGCCATCATGAGATTGGAGCACAAACGCCCGTCTGTCTACGAACATGCAACCAACATATGTGTGTGTCTGCAATCGGCAATTGCTCGCCAACCGTGCCGCTGCTCCAAAACTGCCTTGGACAATTCTTCCTCGACTCGTCCGACACTCAAGATTTTTTTGTGTGAATGAATGAATGTACACGACAAATTCCCTTATCCACCATGCGATGCAATGCATGACGCCCGCCCCATGTTGCGCCGCTCCCTCGCTTTTTCTTTGTCCCCGCCGCTCATCGCTCTTCCCATCTGGCCCCATTCCTCTGCCATGATCCTCGTCATGATCGACACTGGTACAGCCCACCCGCTCATCTGCAGCAGAACATCCCCGATCTCGTGTTTGGCTGCGAGCGTTGGCCCTGACCGAAACGCTCTGTCCTCCGCCTCACCTGCACCTCTGCTCCCTGTCTAGCGCTCCTCGATAGCTACCTGAGCCATTGCCATCCTTACCTGTCCGCAATGGGAGTTGGAGCATCCCAGCCATCCGATGTCTCCAGAACCTCGCCCAGATGTGAGTTTGCACGCTCACTAACTCACCACCCACTCTGTCATCAACCCGTAAGCCTGCCTGCCTACCTTGATATGTTTACCCTGTGTGCCTTGATACTGCGTTTTTCCTTGCGCCTCGCGCCACACAGTCTTTTTAAGTGAGCCATATATGCACCTACGTTACACAAACTCTGATCGAGGACCCATACCAGCCGAACGAACGGCGGGGGGGGGGGATGACTGTTAAAAAAAAACCGATGGAAAGTCTGGCCCTGGACGTTTGAGGTTCCCACTCATCGTCGCTGACGTGGCTGCCAACGTGGGGGACCCCTCCGCCCAGACACTGCCGTCTTGATTGGGACGGCTTCGAATGCTCGTGTACCCAGATGGTCTATCTGGATCTGGGTCTGAGGAAAATTTGTGCATTGTAATCAGGATCCCATTTTCAAATCACAGTGAATTGCCATTGTTGTGAACATGTTTTCGTAACTTTTTGATTATTGGTGATGTTTACACCGTATACGAAGGTGTAGCTAAAATCAAGGGGCGTTGGTGAGATTCTGTTCCCGAGTCTCTACCGTCCTGCCGCCGTCCCATGCCAGACCTTTTTGATTTCTCAGGTCTCCCAATTGCGCCATCCCCTCGCTAGGGTTTCAATATCAGGTATCAAAGCAAAAAAACAAAAAAGGAATACAGGGTACAGGTTTTACGTTCCATGCCCAGATATACCGCCCATTACACATGTTTGCGCCGTTGGAACCCATGTACTGTACTTATGGCATACAGGAGGGTTGTATCCCTCAAAGAGATAAAACAAAATTTGAACAAGTTGTTTTCTCAGCCCAGGAGGGCGGAAACATCCATCCTCGAGTCCTTGTCCGCAGCTGAAGGAGAAGGCGGCGGCAGGGCTTGTTGGACTGTGCTCCTCACAGGGGAGTTGGGTGCTGTGAGGAGGTGCGATGGGAGAGAAGGCAGGCGCATGTGGCCGGCTTCTTTTCTATCGCTCGGGGCGTTGAGAAGACTGCCAAAGGATGGGAGTGAGCGAGGGGCCGAGTGCTCATCCATGCGAAGCGGGGCCAGTTGGACAGATGGCGAGGTGCCCCGGGAGAGGCATTGGGGTGAAGTGGTGTAGCTCGAGGCGGCATCGGACATGGTGGACGTCTCTCCGTCGAGACCATCACTGCCGGGTGAAGAGGTGGAGTTGGGCGACGGAAGCGGCGACTCGAGTTGGTAGTAGTTGTGGCTGTGGGTGTAAAAGGCGGGAGAGACAGGCGATGACATGCCGTGTCTGGTGTGAGAGTAGGAGGCGGTATGAGAGTTGATGGTCAAAGTAGGGCGGAAGCCAGAGTGGCCATATCTGCGGTCGTCGTAGCCGGAGGTGCTGCCTTGGTTGGCCCTGCGACGATCGTGACGCTTTCTGCGGTTCTGGCTTCCATTCCACCAGTTCTTGACGGCGTTGTCACTGCGGCCGTGCAGCCTTCTTGCGATCTCTGCCCACCTCTTACCGATCTCGTTGACGAGGATCTCGATTTGGGCACCCTCCTCAGGAGTGATGGGCTCGTGGTTCAGGGTAGGCTTGAGGTTCTGGTGGAATCGTTCTCTGCATTGCTTTGGCGTCCTCGTTCCCAGGGCTTGGGCAATTCGCACCCAGTTCAAAGGGCCCTGGTCGTTGACAAGCTGCATGAGGTAGGCGTCTTCTTGTTGGGACCAAGGTCCTCTCCTTTGGGAAGCGAGAGACATTTTGGCTGTGAGAGAGTCTACGAAGTAGTGGCGTAAGTGGTGATGTGTGAGTGTAGATATCGAGAGACTACAGGGAGTCGACGATGATGTACGTGTGTGCGCGTATGTGTGTGCGCGTATGTGTGTGTATATGTATGTGAAGAAGAGATAGATGTAAATGTGAAGCAGTAGATGGTGGTAGGAGCGATATAGTGGTAGTTGAAGGTTGATGGTAAATTGATGATGGGAGTGATGGAGGCTGAATACGGTCTTGGATGACCGAGGGATGTCTGCGTATATATGTTGTTGAGCAGGTGGAAGCAGCGTGGTGGAGAAACCGAGCCAAAAGCAGAAGCGTTCAGGTTGGAAAGGCTGTGCGTTCAGAAGGAGGTGTGTGTATGGGACCGACTGAATAAAATTGGAGGGCCTGGGGGACAACGACGAAAGAATAAGAAAGGATAAGGTTTGGGTCGAACCTGGTTAGAGGGTGGGAGAATAAGAACGGGGGGTGTTGTAGATGAAAGGAACTTGTCCCAGTCCAGACGAGTAGATCAAAATCAGGATCAGGATCAGAGCAGACGCAGACGTAGGTAGACGCAGAAGCAGAAGCAGAAGCAGAAGAGATGGGTGATGGGTGATGATGGCAAGTGGAGCGACGGTTCGTGAAAATCCCCCGGCACACGCCCCATGCTCCATACCCAGGCCCACGCTCACAAGGGCTACTCCCACTCCCACGCTTACCTTGTTCACGCCCATCTAATCCGAATTGAGAGCGAGCCCAGGTTCGTGAGGAAAGATACTTCGTACACGGGCAAGTGCCAACATCACCGGCAGCGGCAGCGGTAGCGGCAGCGGTACTTGGCGGGCCCATGGGCAGCACCTGGAGGCAGAGAGGTCCAGAAGGCCAGAAGAGCACGATCCGAAGAAGCTGGGAAAGGGCCAGCCGCCTTCCCCGTCTAAGCTTGAGGTAGGGGTGAGTCTATTAAAAGAGAGCTACAAAGCTAGAAAAGGCATGCGAGGTCTTCGTGCAAAGTACATATTCTGAGATCGGGAACTGGAGGTGTGGGGGATGGGCGTGCAAGCCAAGGTACCGTGGGTACCCCGTAGTCAGGGTGTGCAACCTCAAGAGATGTGGGAGGGAGCAAAGAGAAAGAGAAAAAGAAGAAAAGAGACGGGGAGTGCCATTGCCAATGCTCAGGTCTACATTAGCTGTATCCGTCGTCGTAGTTATCGTTGTCGTTGTCGTCGTCTTTGAGCAATGGAAGAGACAAGTACATTTCATGCGGTACCTCAAGGCATGGTAGAGAGTCTAGATCCAGGCCCGAGTCGCTCTCACCAGCCAGTGATGTGAGTGGATAGAAAAACTGGTAGCGTAGGAGATCACCTCAAATCGCGGTACGGAACGGGGCCGCTTGTCAATGACTTTGTACCTATCCAACAGGGTGAGCCATCCGTCCCCGACTTTCGCAGTCATGCAGTACGGCGTAAGGTACGGATACACTACGGAGGTACCTCCCACCACCACTACCAACGACGGGGAGCCTCAACTGTTTTCCCCTCTTTCTCTCTGCATTTCTCTTCTCTCTCTTTCTGTTTACCTTCTTCCCTCCTCACTCGAGGCTGCTGCAAGTAGCGTCTTCTCGGTCGAGCCCAAGGTATCATATTGCATCACTTCATATCAGTAGGTTCATCTTGATCTAAATGTTTGCAGTAAAGCATCCTACATTCTTTGTATACTGGATATGATTGACAGAGTGACCACGGGAGGGAACCTATGAACCACGGCCGGAGCTGGTGCCACGGCCAGACCCAGGCGACGGGAAAGACTTCTTTCAATCGACAAGCCTGACTTGCGGCTATCTCCTTTCGAGATACACGCCCCCTGGCCCTTGTCTTGTTCGTCGTACCGACCTAGTCCCTGTCGACCATCCCTATCCCGGCTCCAGCTTCGCTGCTACTGATAATCCTTGTCCTACTTGTAGGATTGGGGCCTGTCCCTGGCTCTCGAAGCGGCCCCGGCTCAAGCCACAGCCCAAAGCCAAGCCAACGCCATGGACCCAGCGGGACAGGATGCTCTCTGATCTGATGCCAGGATGATGCCAGGATATGGCCAGGATATGGCCAGGATATGGCCAGGATGTGGCCCGCTGCTGGAATCGGCCGCTGCTGGACAGACGGATGAGGCATAGTATGAACGACGAGGGTTCCCGATCGTGGAGGTTCAACTGCTTTTTGCCTATCCAAGAGGTGCCCAAGAAACGGCACAAGCACGCGCACTCGGAGCGGGCTAGGCACAACTGATTCGTCTCCCCGAGTCGTTCCTGGCTTCTGGCTCTAGCAGTAGTGGCATCTGGCCGACGGATAATCATGTTTGCTGATATCGGAAGTTCACCTTCACCTTACCTCACCGCGCCTCACCTCAACTCACCTGTCTGTGGTTGAGCCCGGCGTGATTGAGACTGACCAAAGAGGGGCAATCTGGGCGGGTCCGAGTTGAGAGATTAATGACCGACGAACTTTGTCAGGCGCATTCGGATAACGTCAACTGCTCAGGGATCGTCGTCGGCTCGGTGGTCAGGCTTCATTCATCTGACGAAATGTCACGTATGTGTCTGACCCTGTCAACTTGGCTTCGTTGGAGAGACGAAGGTCAACGCACCTTGACACTGCTCCTCTTGAGGTGGGCACAGACGATGGAAGTACGAGCGATACACCCAAGAGGCTGACATTTGTTCATGCATTGATCTTTTGATTCATGATTAGACTTTTTTCTGCTCTGTATGTCTTCTTTTGCTTTCAGTTTTGATTTTGATTTTTTCTCAAATTTTGTAATTGTCGGGCTCGACTTCCTTTCAGCTGATGGACTCGGCTGACTTTGTTGCTGAGCTGCATATCTCACATGAGTCCAGGTCAACATGCCGACCGAGTGCGAGTCGCACAATGCACAGACTCTGCATGTACGGTTGGTCTAGGTTATGGCGGCGCGCACTGGTGCAGAATCTGCGAGCTTTCTGGTGCGCATCCCTAGAGATGGAAGATGCAGTGTCTGTACCCGGCTTGCTTGCGTTGTGCGATGCGGATGCGAGTCGACACGATGCTCTGCGCCGTGCGAAGCGCACCTGTCCTATGCCGCAGCTGTTCTCCGGCGACCCCTACTCGGTACCCCTATGGACACACTTGCCGTTCCCGTTCACGTTCCTGGTCCAGTCCGCCTTCGGTCTTACCAAAGAACGATAGACGGATGGGCTGGCCGAGATGAGATCGGAGGGCATCAAGCCCGGCCTCGCTGGAAACGGCTGCATTACGCTGGGCCACTCATAGCCGGTATCATGAATGTGAAAGTTGACGGAAGCAACAGTCATGCCAGTAATACATCCATCGTCCGCCCATTCATCGTCCCGGGAGGCCCGTCTTGCCTGTGTTCAGCTGGCCGGGATGGGTAAGGTAGTCAGTGGAATGCGACCGGCTGGGGGCGGACCGGCGATCATGCCGGGTGTGGTGGAAGAGGTGGCAACGATGAGGTGCTCCATTCGTGAGGTATCCCATCCGTAAGCTTAATGAGAAGAGGTATGGTAGGACACACCGAATATTCGCGTTGACAATCTGTCTCTCGGTCTGCAACATGGCCGTTGGTTGGCATGCCGTACTCTGATCACTGTACGTACGAATGCGTGCATCAACAACTTCTGGATTCAGGCGTAAAGAGATTTGCATTTCAGGGAGGCCAAAGGACGGGTCTGACCGTGAACAAGGACGGCGGTGCATGGAATGGATACCTCGGGACGAGAGACCGTTTTTGGTGGGGTTGGCTGGTTGGTCGAAACAATCCGATCTCTTGCTTTCGGGGCCCTGTAAGGGTTGCTCCCATGTGCTCTGCCCGTCAACCGTCAACTCTGGTAGGTATCTGTTTACCTACTGGCTCCAGGTTGAGGCTTGACCTTGTTGGGTCCATGGTCCAGCCGAGTCTATTCTGCGGTCAGGTATCAAAGATTTAATATTTAGTAGAGAAAAACAGAGTACAGCGAACGCAGGGTTGGAAAATGAAAATGGAAAAGTCCGAGTCCAGGACATGAAAACACTTGATCCGATGACTACTGATGGTGGCTTTGACGCGGCTTCTGCCAGACGGAGGGAGGCGACGCCTCTGTAACGTATCGAGTAGCCAAAATGAATACTCTGACTAGCAAGAGTGAGTGCTAGCCGGTGATAGCAAGGAGACAAATGGAAATAGACTTGTTGTACCGCAGTCCGTGCCGCTGTGTGCCCCGAAGATGGACCCCCAAAAGAGGTAGAAGCGCGTTACTTGTGCACAAGTTGACGTCAAAGTGAATTATGGGCTTCGTGTATCCGGACCTTGGATGAGTAAGGTATCCGTACGTAAGGTACGGATTGTCGTGGTTGAGTTCCATGTCTGAGCCGGTCGTGACTGGAGAGTGGTGACGGGAGTGCATGAATCAGACGTCGGCGCGGGTTTTGGTTTGTGACGGGCTGGCAGGTCTCATCTGGCACCCTATTGGCCTGGGAGTTTTTGTCAGGAGCACGAATAGGGATGGCGTATCGCTACAATGGGCATGGCGCCGTTGCACAATTGCAAATGATTCTTGCTCTTCTCGGACGATGCCGCAGGGGAGCGGTTCCGGACGGGAGAGCACGATTATATTGATAGGGTGAGGGTGTGCGTGTGTGAGTGTGTGTAAGAGACATGGAAAGAGACACAGAGGCAGAAACAGAGAGAGATTGAGGAAAACGGTCCGACCAAAGGAACACCAAAGCGTTCGGCCAGACGTCAACGTCAATGTCAAACGTCAACGTCAACGTCAATGTCAATGTCAATGTCAATGTCAAACGTCAACGTCAACGTCAATGTCAAACGTCAATGTCAACCGCCCAGGGTCGCCAAGTGAGCCAAGCTCCACGGTTTGTGCTCCAGTGCTACTTATTATGGCATACGGATAGGGTATCGGTCTCTAGCTCTGAGACTCTTGGAATTGCGTCTTGGTTTCTCCGTCTCTACCTTAGCTCAGGCTTTGGCCTACACTGTCCTCTGATGCCGCGGCTTAGGTAAGCTCACAATGATGTGTAATTGCGCGGTACGTATCCGTATTCGCACAGAATTTGTGCATGCTTCTATCCGTCCGTACCTACTGGAAGGTAAGTTGTGACTGACTTCCATCCTGCTTACCTCAAGAGTCAAGACCCAGGACCCTTCCTTCCCCCGCATCCGCCTGTGTTGTGTTCAACTTGTCCCGAGTCGAGATACGTACCCTTGTTTCGAGCATTGCGCCAGTACGTATTTCCTCCAAACGGGCGTATCCGTACGGATTTGGAGCTAATAGTGCGCCGGACTGGATTTGCCTTGTTTGCCTATCGCGCCGGATATAGCATCGTCAAAGATTGCGTCCTTGAGAGTCCCTCGGAGCATCGAGATTGGATTACCTAGGTGTACACGGCAATTGCAAAGCTGTTTTCAGGCGGCGGTCACGGTGCATCATCACGTAGTCTTGTCGTGCATTGACCTCACGGCTCAGCTGAAAGTGGCTGCTCCCAGAGCAGAGCCACAGCAGTCAGTGAATCGTTTCGACAATCAGGCCTCGCAAGATTTGATATGGTGATCTCGGCGATCTCCAGGCTCTGCAACAGGCCTTGCACCTCTGTGTCATGACTACTACTTGTGGTCAACAAAGGCGCTTTAGGTGAAGTAGCCAGGTGGGATACTCGGGGGCCAGGCCAACGCAAACCGGCACTCAAAAACGGCCCACAACTGTAAAGTGGTGCTGGTGCAGTGATGTCTAGTACAGTAGCCTGAGTTAGATAAACGTGTTGGGGCAAGGCAGTTACTAAGCCGAAGTATCTGTATCCCTAGTAGACCATCGAGTACCTTAGGAAGCCCCATCAGAAAGACGCTGAGAGAACCAAGATTGAAAGAGGAAAGGACGGTTCCGCTCAACCCCGCTCGCATTGCCCGTGGGCCGATGTTGCCTGCATCATGAAGTACCTTGTGGGTTAGACTCCAGACGGCGAAGGCGATGGCTACACACAGTTTGATGCTGTGTCTCCGGGAATAGTGGCTTAAGGGCCCTGGCCTCAGCGCGAGACGACCCCGCTCGATCCAGGCCACGCTTGCCACGGTAGATATCCAGCCCTTATTCAAGGTGAACGGGCCCTGGGGGCTCGACCAGGTCAACAGAAAGAACAAGAGACGAGATATGTGAGAGATTCACACAACGGGTGCTAGCCATGGACCGTAGCACATAAGCTTCGTACCAGCTTGCCAAACCATTGTCCTTTGAGCCAAGCTTGCCTAGGCAAGGGGACCAGCGGGTGTCAGGGGCGGAGCGTATCGTCCGCGGCATAGTGTGAACGGACTGCTAGAGCACAGGCAACCGGGCAGTCACCTTTGATTTGATTATTGAAATGGGATAGCTGTCTCTGTCACTTTGAGCTGATGTGTTGCTGGTTGGTTAATTACAGAGAAGAAGGCTGAGGTTCGACTCACCCGCCGGGCTCCATCAGCCCGCGAGATATAATGCCAAGACATGTAACAACGGTGATGTTCCGTCGATGATGGGATGAGCTATGTCAAATCATGACAAGCTTCTGGAGGGGGTCGAGACGAGGGGTAAACCGTAAAATAGGGAAGAAACTGAACGTATCTGCCGTCTGTTTGGCTCATGAAATCCAGTTCGTGAAACCTGGAATCGGACAACCATGTTCCTTGCCAGCAGAAACGGGTGGAGAGGTACATTTGGCCTTGGGCACGGCGGCCGCTTACACAGTACCTCACAGATGGACGGTGCTGAGGCGCGCATTCGCATTCGCCGCAAGCTTCCAATAGCCGCCCCGGCGCTTCTACCACAGAACGTCACGGCGCCCACATGATGGATGGGACGGAGTGAAAAGAAGCACAAGCAAACGTATACTTGCTACGCACTCGTGGATGCACACGCCCCGTTTCCATGGCAAGATACCTTACGCTGAGCTTAAGACGTAAGGTATCAACAAGCCTAACGCTCTGCTGCCTTTCCGGGGTCCAGATAGCGGTAGGGCCGAAGAGTTACGGGCGATGCGGAGATGGGATGCTCATTGCTGGCAGGCTGTGCCCCGAGCTGCCGAGGCAAAGAGGGAGATCAAATGCAAGCAGGAGAAGCAAGAAAAGAAAAGAGAGACGAAGAAAAGGAAACGAAGAATGCAAATAGGATTTGAAATCGAGGTGCATATGCAAGGCGCAACTACAATTGTAGACACGGACATTACCCGGCATACGGCGCTGCAGAGTCTCTGTTTACCCTTCATCCTCAAGTTTGTTGTCTTGTTCTCGCAACGTCTAATAGCGCAAAGCGGTGATGTGTATGCAGCAAGGTGGGAAAAGGCAGCCAAGAAAGCCAAGGGCTGCGTGTCTCTCCTTCACCGTGCCCTACCTCATTCTGAATTCTCGTTTTCATTATACAAGGTGTATCCGTACAGAGTGCGGACTGCGGAGTATGGTTCATGTTTGCAGGGTAGAGGCATCTGCAAGGTAAGGTGAGAACGGGGTAAGGGTGAGGGTGGCAGGGAGGAGACGAGTGAGTGTCTTGCAGCCGCAGTCGTTGCGTTTTCCTATTCTGTCCATACTTGGCGAGAATGGCATCTTGTCTTGTTGACGAATCCAACCCGGGGTACAGACTCCAAGAGCCCAAACTTCGAAGAGTACTCTCTCTGAATGGGTCCATTACTACTATGGCAGTGCATGCAGTATCCGTACGGATGGAGCGTCAGAGGCTAGAGCCTGTCATGAGCCCAATCTGGACCAAAGTAAGGCAGCAACGAGTGGGATTTGAGGAGAGGAGCAGCTTTCATTTCTTTTTCCATCGCCGACCGACATCTGAGAATCTTTGGCGTCGTTTCGGCATGGTGGATGCTGGGTAAAAAATACACACGTCAGTGCTGAGGTGACGGTTGGTAACGTGGGTAAGATGGAAGTCACGCAGGCACGAAGGTTTGCTAACAGCCTGGAAAGGTACGTACGGCCCCCGACCTCATCCAATCCAACCTAAGGTAACCCTCCAGCCACGGGAAAGGTACGTAGGCAAAGTGAACCGGTCCAGCTGCAAGAACCACCTGCCGAATGTGGCCGGCAATGCGAGATCTGGCCAGACTCAAGGGCCTCATTGGCCAGTCAGCCGAGGACTAGGCACATTGCCAGGTATCCATGTACCCTGCCACTGGTACATGCCTATGTGCACCAACATGGTCGGCAACAGGTGGGTGCAACGAGGAGCTAGGCAGGCAGGTAAGGTAAGATACTTGGGAAGCATCCGCGGGATACCTTGCCTAAGATTCTCTTCACGGAACAGGGATATATATGGCGGCTGGTCTTGGCAACGATGGAGGTCGGCACCGGGGTCTGCAGCCCTGGGCTGGATCCGTCCTATTTCCTCCTCTGCCGGGTTTATCACAGTTGCCTTGCAGAAGAACACTGTGAATATCTACCTATCCTGACGGATAGTGTTACGGCTCTCCGCTTAGGCCAAGTCATGGTAGAGCGGGTGCGGACGCGGACGCGGAGACGGAGGCAGGCGTACACTAGTATCTGTACGGAGTAGATTCTCCATTAACCAATCTAGCGTCTAGAGTCCATGGACAGGGACGATGCCATGGACGATGCCGGAGAAAACCCCGGCGGCACTACTGTGAAAGGTACGCACACTTATTAGGTATTCGTACCAGAGTTTGGGCGTCAGTAAGCACCGGAACTCTCCGTCACTTCATGTCTAAATTACGTGTCTCTCTCCCATGCTCTCTTCTCAAACTTAGTCCGGGTACGAATGCAAACTCGCCTTGTCGGGCTTGACGTACCGAAAATGAGAACCTGAAGAAGAAAAGAAAGTGTTTGTAAGTTGCCGATGCTCATTCCTTCCTCATAGCACCTGTGATTTTATTGACCGGGGGTTGGCGTGTCCGGATACGGTGTGGGTGGCAGGGTGCCATGGTGCCTCGAGCGTTTGGCGTCCAGGGAAGAAAGACAAGAAAGGACCATGTGCGGATCGCCGGGAGGCTTACACACCTTCCTTCCTGTTGGGACCAACCAAAAGTCAGAGCCATGCTGCTGGGACCGCCCGGAAAGAACCAACGGCGGCTTCTTTCCCCGCCAACTCAAGCGCCCACGTTAGGTAAGATGCCCGCCATCTTCCTGAGGCAAGCCTGCCCGCCTGCTGAATTCACCACAGGGCAGGCACCGTCCATAGCTTATCTCAAGCCCGGTAGGTTTCTCGCCTTATCGTACATTCCCTACGGAGTACTGTATAGGCAATAGCTGTCTACCTACCTTATTAGTACGGATACCTTACTTTACCTAGGTATTCCTACATCACCTGAGGCAGGACTTCAAGGTACGCATATTCGCAAGTGAGGTAATACGGCATCTGCACAGCACCGTCCGGGGCGTTGAACCACAACTTGGGGACAGCACCACCACCAACGTATCGCGCCACAAACGAACAGGCCAAAAGTAACGACCAGGTAGTAGGTAAGGCACCCAGCAACTTACCTAGCTTTCCAGATGCCACCATCACCCGCCTCCCTTTCCCTTCGCCGTCCTTCCGAGCGAGGCTGAGGATGGGTACTAACATACAGGTCAATCCATGACAAGGACTACAATCATTGCGAATGCCGGCCGTCTCTCCAATGTACTTTTCGCATCTCCCGAACATACCATCATTCCGCCCAAGTATGGAGCGTCGGTGCCACCCGTGCCACCTTCACACGCCTCACTGGCCCTGCGTCTTCCACGATAATGCCATGTTGCCTAAGGGCGATGGCAATGGGCATGCCTTACAGTCAGTATCAGCTATCGAGGGGCCGGGATACCGACAAGATACGAAATCCCAATCCGTCCATGTTTCCTTCCAGGCGCGGCAATATGCCATCCGGAGACAGCGTCACTCATCCATCCACTACCTTGCGCTCATCGTCGTCGATGCTGTGGGTTCAGGTTGCCTACACGAGGCTGTGCCTCGACCTTTTCTTTTTGCTTTTCATTGTCCTTGTCAACGATTCTACTGGGCCCGGCCGAGACCAAACATCCAAACCCAGTCTGGGCCCGACGACCACTGCTCGCTGTCGATGAGAAGGATCCCAAGGACGAGAGCCTGTCATAGTACGCACGTACTTCACGCCGCGTTTGGGTACGGCTCCTCCCATCGTCTTGAGCCACCACTAGACTGCTAGAAAAGCTGCCGCATGCGGACACAATACCTCGAGGCCATTCGAAACGCTGCGATGGTCGCCGCCTCTGGCCTGCGCCCGTTGTCGGCAACTGCCAGGCGCACTGTACGCAGTCATCGACATCATCGAGACCTTGACGCATGCGGAAGCACTGGGAAGCACGCCCCGAATATCAAGACCTAGGACTTCGCCCGTCGCGGCTTAGCCGGCCCCCAGCAACGGTCTACAAAGGATTCTCCAGACCACGAGGCACCAAGCTCTTCCTCTGCCCCAACGCCTGGTCCTACCGCGAGCCGGCTCTAGGGTAGCCAGATCCCAGTCCAAATCACTCAAGCCCCAGTGCGATCCTAACCAGACGATTGGGACCACGGCTGGCATGGGTCTTGGGGCCGCGGGAGGGACTATGATTCACATAGCGTGCAGCTATTCACATTCCTTGCACGAAATACTCCTACGAAGACGGGTATTGACGCGAATACACGCCCTCACCAGAGAGAGAGAGCCCCTCAGGCACCTTGCATAAGACTTGCATGAATGGCGTCTCGTACTTGGGTTACTCTTCCTCCTGACCCATGGCCGAAGCGGACGACACCAACTGACGAGAAAACCCGATCGCAGATGACGGAGAGGAAGAAGCAATAACAAGCGTCAAATCGTAAAGCGCGGCAGACGAAAAAGAAGCACGACCCAGTTGACAAGGTAGTGCTTGACAAACGAGCGATACACAGCTTGTTTGCCCGTGTTTATGGGTGCACCCCCATGCATGGCTACCTCACCACTTCGCGGTTACGTCCGTCGACAGTTCTGGTCTCCGCAACGGGATGCTAGGGGGTGGCATGGCTTGCGTCCGTAACTATGGATCCAAACCCCCCTTCTAACTAGTGACCATCAATACACCCCCATTCCACAAGAAATTGTCATACAGTGGTACCCGACGGTGCGCCCCCGCTACCGGGTCGACGCTAACGCTGGTGTAGGTAGTGTAGATTCTTGCCGACATGCTTGTGCTGGACGCCGTGGCTGCCTGCCCAATTCCTCCAGATGTTTAGCTCGAGGGGTGTTCAACGGCGAAGGGATGACGGCGCCGTCGTCCACCATCTTCTTCCCCATCACATCAATGTGGCCGGATATTGTCAGCGTTACTTGGATATATTTCCTTGTTTCTGGCTCCTACACCTGGCCAAACACATCGTGCCCGTCGTATATTGGTAAACTGACCGAGATGCAGCCTCGGTAGCCAGATACCATTATATTGTTGAACGACCGATGCCGACTCGTGAGGTGGTGGGCCAGATGATGAGGAAACATCGCACCTGCGAGGATCAAGTCCCGATCACGTAGGATATGTCTCCGCGAGAAATATAACGGATCGAGCCCCTGGGGAATCGGGTGTCTGAGTTACCTGTCATGGGATGGCAGCATCCACGCCCACGGACACGGCAAAACGAAGCATCGGGACGAATTAGACAGATCGGCTTCAACTGCCGACTGGCTGGCTGCATTGGAAGGACGAACGACTCTGCCTCTGTCGATACTGGAGTGTCCTCCGCGATAGTCGTGCCCAAAGTGGTATCTTGTCCGACGCCATAATCGGCGGCGTTGGACCCGGCCGGAGCCAGCAGCATATTCTTTGACAAGCCCTACGCAGTAGGCGCTGATTGTGGCTTGCGTACCTTGTCCGTGTTAGCTGCGCCCGAGGGCTTGGGACACCGGCGACTAGGTCCCCTGGGGCGGTGGCAGCCGCTGCACCAAGGAATAAGCTACGTTGAAACCCGCAACCAAAGACCGTTGGGCATCCTTTCCAGCTGTCTGGTTCTCGACGTTGGGTGTGCTGTAGCGTGCTGACGGCAATGGACTGGGCGAGCGGACGGACCGACACTACAGGACCGGAGGCGCAAGTGGCACACGAATAGACAGCAAGTGCATTCTCTGTCCGGATACATGCGCTGCAAGTGTCGAAGATGATGCCAACGGTTGGTTGTCGTTTGTCGCGCATGTGGCATAACTTGCCCGTATTCCTTTGGCAGTCTGCACCTTCGCCAAACCATTCATTCCACGCCGCCAACCACGACGCCATCTTAGGATGGCACATTCTGGCACGGACGAAGAAGGCGAGCGTATGGCAGACAGAGTCTTGGGATGATGGAGGATGCATTTGATGTGGAAACGTACCAGTAAGGCACGGAGTAGGCGCATGCTGGACCACGTTGGGCATTCGTGTTTCTCTCTCACACGGAGATGCCAGCCCCCCCCCCCCCCCCCCCACTTTTTGACCTCCTCCCGGGCTCAGCATCTTCAACTTCAGCTCCAGCGTTCAGCGTTCAGCTCCAGAGACCATCGTCTCACACATATGCCATGCATACGGCGGTAGCATGGTGTTGTCGATTCAATAGTTGTTGTCAAACTCGTTGTTCTGGGATGATACTAGCATGCCCTGTCATGGCACACTTGGTACATAGCTCCACATCCCTCCCCGTCCCTCCTCTCTCCTCTCTCCCAGGTCTTACTTAGTGTACTCCGTAGGTTCTTGGTAAGAATACTCCGTACGGATACAGGCTAGTACCCCCCACCCCATGCCAGCTGGACTAGGCCACGAATGGACATGGCAAGCGAGTTTTGGCGATTTGGCATTTTCCTCATATGCTGCCCCTTCCCTCTCTACTGCAAAACCATGCTTTTTCTCAAATTCCCCCTTCACAGCGGGCCCACCTCTACCACTTTTTATCCCCGTCCCCTTTCCCCCCCGGGCCTACCAATGATCTCCGGCCAGGACATGCCGAGTACACGGGAAACCTCACAGCAGGAGAATCATTAGCTCTTAACCGACCCGTCGGTTTCATGAAACAAGAATCTCCACCTCCAGCTGCACCTCACCTGCATCTATTCCCAGCTGACCCCGGCTCGTCGTCGTTTCCCTCTCATCACAGGGTGACAGGCCACAGGATGTACGGACTACGGATACAGCCATTCGCAAGGATACAGCACCTCACCATTGTCATGCAGGGCATATCAGCACCGAGATGTAAAGAAGCACCGGCCGGTTTCCCATCAGCTCTGTCTGAACTTGTGGAATTGATTCCTCATCGCTCTCCCCGTACCCTGACCATGTCACCGTCACCGTCACTCTCATCCTGACCAGCTCCCTGCTGCCTGTCCAGTGTCCTTCTCTTCGCCTTCGTACCCGTTTCCTTGATCCCCGTCCCCGTATCCGCCCTTCTATTCCGATCTCCCAGCCTCCAGCTTCTGCCCAGTGCCATTTATACATCCATCCAATCAGCCTTCTCAGCCCTTCTTGCACTCTCGGAGCGAGAACGTTCCGTGCCTGGCGCGCATCTATCCCCCCCTTTTCACCCCACGCCAAGTTTATGTGCGTGTGTCCGAGATGGGGCAACAATATCGATGATGGAACAACATAACGTATGTGCCCCCTCACCGCCCGCTCGCCATTCCACTCCAACAAGGATTTGTGTAGCCAATGGTAAGGGATGGAGCTTCTTCCGCTCAGGTGAAGACAATTATTGCCTGCTTCTTCAGACCCTACGGGCTGGACAGTCAGTCGTATTGTCCCACCCTGAGGTGAGATGCAACTGTTGAATTGGTCATATTGGAAAAGGAGTACGGCTAAGCCTGTGACCTAAGTAGAGCCATCAATGCGGTGTCATCTACATGGCAAGACAACATCTCCCTCACTTTCGTATGATGAAAATGTTTATTTCCGCGCTGAGCAGGAGTTTAGCAAAAGGCCGCCTGGATATCTTCCCAGCTGCGTTTGCACCAAATCTTCATCAATAACCACGAGGGCAGTAGTCAGAAATTCGAGATGACATGATGACTTGCCCATCACCACCTCCGTGTCTACCCAGAGACAGCTTTGTACAACGTCCCGCGGCAGAAGATGTTGTTTTACTGACCATCTTCCTACCACCTTCCTACCACCTTCCTACCACCTTCCTACCACCTTCCTACCACCTTCCTACCATCTACGATAGACTCTACTTGTCCGATTCAGTGACGACTCACTAGAAGAACCAAAAATACATCTCAATCATGGCTTCAATGTCGTTCGTGTGATCAGGACGAAGCCTTCATGCGTCCGGCACCAGTAGTAGCCCGGCACCCTGGGTCGTGTATTAACAGACGAATGTCCGAGCGAGGTCTCGCTGTTTAGTTCCATGGCGGCGGTGCCAGCACAACGGTTCTCAGCAACGGTCCGTTACGTCTGAAGTACTAGCTAGCCAGCCACGTTTCTGTCGTGCTGGCTTGACCAACGATGGCAGTTCCAGCCAAATTTACGGATACCTAGGTCGCCCTTTGAACAGCAATGTGCCTACACAAGCTGCGTCGGACTATCGACGAGCGAGGGGAGACTGGCGTGCCACTGGAGTTCTTACCGTCGCGAATAACGTGGCCAGAGTTCATACCACGCCTCGTGCCCCCCTTTGCCCTGGCCTCGAGCCAGCCACAGGATGTGAACCAGCGGTGCCATATCCTAGCTCTTTGGTGAGACTGGAATGGAGACATCTAGGTGATTTACCCTCATTCTTCCTTTCCTTCCTCTCGTCTCCTCGTCCATGTTGTTGAGACATTGAGCCGGTCGCCGTCTACCAATCGTGGACAGGAAGCTGTAGCTGGTACTTTGTGCTAGTTTATCGCAGCCACCATGAGGACCACATCATGCCAAGTTACCTCCCGTGTTGCTCCTCTTGTTGCTGCTATTGATGTTGTTGTTATGATGATCATTGCTCCGCAGTGCTGTCGTGATGTCTCAAGACCTAGAGCGTCAGAGGGCGAATTTGGTAATTCCAACGGTGTCCACACAAATAAGAATCTGCTCAATGCCAAATTGACCTGGCTCTTGGTGCCACAGCAGCCGAAAGACGCTACGGCTAAAGTGATGGGTTCGAACGGCCATGTACACTTCTCCAGACTCATGACTTTTGTCTCGCACGAACCCTTCTTACTCGCAGAATAGACCACCATCGTCTAAAACCCCCAACGGTTCTATTTCCTAATAACGGGCATCTTGGCCGAACCATTTGTAAGATTTTGCGAATCACTGTCCTCAGGGATGAGAAGAGACGGACAAGCAGAAGGACTAGTGGATTGATTGAAAGATGCAGGCCGTTTCGCCCACATCATTTCAGACTTGTCTTGCTTGTGTGGGCTTGGGTCTTTAGGAGATGAGAAACGCAGGATGGTCTTGTTCATCAAGCCGTTAGACCCCTTCGTCTCGCCTACCCGCCTACTCGCCTGCCCGGCTTTTCCGCCTGATAGTGTGACAACTATGGGGAGATAGATCTTCCTTCTCTCTAGACAGAGTAGGACGCTTTCCTCAATAGAGCTTTCCCTTCCGCTCCCAGCCCAAAGGTTGTCAAGTGGATTACTGCTAGGTATCACCGTCCCGTGTCTATCGAGCAAAAATATTAGCCCCGAGACCATGTCCCTTGCTGCAATCCTAGTTTCCACGTTTGTGGCGTTCGTCCTCCTCCCCGGTGCCCCTAAGTAGGAAAGGGCATGGCTGGATAGCGGTGCGACAATCGTCTCCGGACAAACACACAACTCATGGGGGGAAGCTACTTCAGTTGAGCCTAGGTCGAGCGTCATCACTAGCGAGCCATGTCAACGCCCCTCTCCGTTCTGATGCCTTTCGTAATTCGTATGTGGAGAGAGAAACATTGATGTACTCGACTTACTATTGGTTGCTTTACGGAACGCTGGGCATTCCCACGGTTGACGAACCGAGTCAACGGTGTTCTTGCCGCCTGCTTAGCCTCCCCGTCCATCGGTGTCCTCGTGGCATGGATACCAATACAAGTCCACGATGGGTGTGTTGGTACTGGCTACAACCGCTTGCTGTGTTGCTATCTTTTTCCCGCTTTCTCTGTATGTCCAAGGTAGAACGAGTGCCAGTGGCTATATGCCAAGCGCTAGTCTCGGTCTCCTTGAGCCCAAACCAGCCTGACTTTCTCATGCTCACCGTGACGACAGGTCATCATATCCCAGCCTCTGGCATACGCAGCCTGCGGAGGCTTAAAGGGTGTCGATGGTGAAAGAGGATATAGGTCTCGACCTCGATTGAAAGTGTCTGATGGCTGGTTGAAGCCCAGAACTAGTGTAAAAGCAATCGAAATCAATCAAATGTAAATCGCGAGGGCCTCACATCTCACATGGACGAGGGAAGAGGCCCAGGGTATTATTATATACATCATAGCCTGCTCCAAGGCAAGCCTCCCTCCAAACGCCGACTCCATCTCGCAACCAACACTGAGTTTTCCTCAATAACGTTAAAGCAGTGAAAGATATGCCAAGTTCATCGAGCAGCATTGCTCTGGACTGGTGTCTACGCTGAGCAATGGCATATCCTCCGCCAAAAACTCCTGTCGCTGATGTCTAAACTTGGCCCGCCCCTTGGCCAGCCTGTACAACAATCCTAGTGCATCCAGAACAAAAGTCAAGGAAGATGCCCACAAAACTAAAGTGATTTCGGCAAGTATAAGTACTGGGCTCGAGCTCTTCGTCCCAGTACATGAATGCGTAATCGAAGTTGCCATGCCCCTGAAAGAAATGCTGGAGCCTCTACAAGTAGATATCTCCGTCCTCTCCTGCCACCCAGCGTCGCCACGCCTCGTCGTAGGCCGTCTCTAGATCAACCACCCATCGTCTGGTATCGAAAAGTGCACACGTCCATTTGCTGTCCCAGAGTGTTTTACGCAAGGTTGCCAAGCGACCCCTGCCTTCGCCATAGCCACCACGGCCGATTTGATAGGATAAGCCATTCGCTAATCTGATGGCAAAGAGCTCGTAGTCCTCTTCACTGCCGGCGATGAGGTCTTTCGCTGCCTCGGCCCCTTCGGGACCTTTGGGCAGCGCGCCCTTCAAAATCGACGCCGCCATACGCGAACACATCTTGTAGGGGTATCGTGGTAGTGTTAGGAGAGGTGTACTAGACCACAATACATCTGCGGCCGTGGTATGCGCGTTGCATTCGGGAGTGTCGAGGAATAAATCGCAGACGCGAGCTCGGGATATATGCTGGTTCTTCGGCGCCACGTCCGTAAAAATGATTCGATTAGCAACTTCTTCCCCAGCCCAGGCCTTCGCCGTCCTCCTAAGATTCGTTTCTCCCAGCTCGGGGAATCGTAAGAGCCATAGGATGGCCTTGGGGGCCTGTGCCAGGATGCGTAGCCACGTCCGAAACGTTGTAGGGTCGATCTTGGAAAATGAGTTAGCTCCTGTTATCGGTTGTGATACATAATAAGCAGAATGTGACGAACCTTGTATAGCTGATTGAAGTTTCCCATGATAACAGTATCGTCGGGTAGACTGGGAAACAGCTCTTTCCGCATACCCCACCGTCGGCGCTGCTCATCTTCCCATGAAACTTTATGTTCATCGGGGTCGCTCGACTGCGCATGGTCACAGCAAAAGAAAGTGTCCTTACAGAACACGATGTTCTCCGAGTAGATCCATCCTCCATCGCCTTCTTCAGTTTTGTCCTCAAAAATGTCTCTGACAGAGAGATTACCACGCCAAGGGCGTAGTGTCTCCGGGGGGATGGCTGTGGCATCTGCAAGCAGATAGTCACACCACTCGGCACCTAAGCTGCCGGCAAAGCCCATGAAGGACATTTGGATCGGGGCTGGTCTCGCAGCAAAGATTTCGTTGCGAGCACCTCTAGTATAGCCATTCAAGTTGACAAGGATGTGAATATTGTCTTGAACGATTTGCTCCACTAACTTGTCCGAAGTCCATGTGCTGGCATCTCGGAACACTGGCGCTTCACGTTCAATCTGCAGCCGATGAACAGATTTATCACTCGCTGTCGTAGCATAACAGAATGCTTTTACGCGAGTGGTATCGTGAAATCCGAAAACAGATTGCATACTATTTGAATGTCAGTATTAGCTGCGGGTATCGTAACGTGGAATCGATTCGAGTCGTCTTACAGGTGAGCCAAGGGATGGTTATTGAAATCTGAGGAAACATAGCCAACATTAAGGCGAGGCGATGGCGGCGCAGGTGGGGGGTAGACAGTTTTTGGAAGCCAGGGGGAGCGAAGTGTCGAACAGGAGATCCTGAAGGCATTGCGTTGCGATATCATACGAATGTCCTTCGCTGTCAAGGGGCAGGTGAAGGTATGGAATGGTAGGACTGTTGGAGCGGACGGTACAGCGAGGGTGGATGGCAACTGAGGACGCATGTACTCCGAGGTTGACTTCACTGAGCCCCGAACATACTTGTCGCAATACCATCGCCGCATCGCTGCCCGTGCACCACGCTCCACGAGCCTCAAGAGACGCGATCCTTCCCAAGGATTCTTGGACCAGCTGAGTAGCTTTGCCGAGAAGTCGGAATGGGCGTCTGTTGATTTCCCGTCGGCCAAACATAGCTGTGCAACCAACGATGCAATGTCGTTATCTTGTAAAACGCCAACGCCCCAAGTTGACGCGTCGGCGAGTTGGCGAGACACAATGTCAACAACCTTCTTCGTTAGGCCGGATCCTTGGTCTTCCTTTGTGGCATCGAAAAACATGCCGTCATTGTCGACGTGCCAGCGATCGTACGTGCCTCCCTGTAGGAGTGCGCCGCCTCGGCCTCTCCAGTCGCAAACCGAGTTCAAGGCTGTAGATAGCCCGCACACTGCTTCTGCAAATTCTGGATTGGAGTGAACCGCCCTTTTGTAGAATGTGATTGCATCGCTGATACGCCCCCGATCCTTGACGGCATTTGCGAGGTTTGTCAAGGCGATATCAAAGTTTCCATCGCACTGGACTGCCTGCTCATACATCTGAATTGCAAGGTCTAGCTGTCCAATGTCCTTGAGAAGGCTACCGAGATTGGTGTGCAGGTGAACGTGCTTCGGATCCAGTGTGAGTCCGTAGTTATAGTACGCAAAAGCCAAAGCGAGTCCGCTGCCAGGGGTAATGCCAGGAATACTAGGCAATGACGACAAAGTCTGACTCGAAGTAGCTGCCATGGGCTGCTGTACACTAGCAAGTAGAATGCCTACATTGTTTGCCGTAGACGGGCTCTCTTGAAGTGACAGTGAAAGATAGTAAAGTGAGAGAATGTCACCAACGCCAGCCGACTTCCTCACCAATCTCGCAGCCTGCGATCCAGAGGACATGGCATCCTGGAATATCTTGGCGAGAGAAAGTAGCGAGTTGCTCGTAGTTTGAATTGCCGCTCGCTTAGGGCCGCCCTCAGGCACAAATCGTAGGCCAGGGAGATCGCCGTTGTTGGAAAATACCAGCTTTGCCGTGCGCCTCGCCTGCTCAGGAGGCAGTAACAAGGGGCGAGACGGCGTCGCCGGGTCGATGAAGGGGTGATTGCTGCCGTTTGGTGCCAAAACCTGCTGAATCTGTCGGACCAATGTCTGGACAGAAGCTGTTCTTCTTCCTGCGCTGATCAAGACGGCTTCCTCAAAGGCTTCAGACGCCCCCGCGATATCTTTCAGACTGTACAGCATTGTCCCTTTGGCGTGAACTAATGCGAGGATGCGTCCATTCTCGGTACCTGGAATGGCATAACCGCTCGAACCAAAGCCAGGTTGGGTTTGGCTCTCGTCAAGGAGGCTAGTCGCCAAGCCAGAAGCAGCATCTCTTCGGGCGGCGGTAGCGTCATAGCCAGCCTCTCCTGTTGAGCCCTTTGGTAGCCTGAGAGACTTTTGAACAAAACTGATGACATCAACCGCGTCGACACTTTTCTTCTTGTACAGCAGACCGACCAGATGCTCTACTGCTTCAAGATATTGCGGTCGAGTTCTAATCGCCTTCAACCAGCAATTCTCCGCCTCGTCTTGTCTGTTGAGGCAGTACAAAGTGGCTGCCTGATTCGACACTGCTTCCACATGGCTATATGGCGAATTAGTAAGAGTGAGCTCACAATATCATGACCATGGAAGCCAGACGCAAGAAGGGAGAGGGGAGATGAAGACTTACTTTGGCTCCAGTGAAGTGATTCGGGTGAACCATTCCAAGGCTTCCTCGAAGTGTTCCAGGCCGTAATGTAAGCAGCCTCCCAGTAGAACACCATCAATCCATTTCCATCCGGTTACCTCACATACACGGGTGAGAGTCTCTAGGGAGCTTTTAGCGTTTGCCAGAGGTGAGCCTCTCGAGATCTGGTTCGGATACAAGGAGCCACTTGAGTTCGCGACCGGGAAATTGCTGTGCCGGAAACCCGTGACCCCGTTCCAGCCAACGTGATGCGCTGGGAGCGACGATTTATCTCCCAAGGAACCGAACAGCATATTGTCTTGTGTGTTCCGGAGGTTTGCGTTGGCCATCATAGCGGCGTCTCCCGGAAAAAAGAGGTCTGGGGCCAAGGTGACGATGGGCTGTTTGGGCGGTTTGGGATATACCACCATTCTCGAGGTAGTGCTCAGAGCTGAGCCGGGCCTCAACTGCTGAGTTTTGCGCCCGTGATGCAAGAGCGCGAGTAAATCAACATAGCTTCGGTGTGCTTGAGCTAACACTCTTTCTCTGTACGCGGATGGATGTGTCTTGTTCATGGAATCAACAGCGCTAACAGCTTGGTGCGGTTCTAGCGTTAGAGCCTCCAAATGACATTGAGATGGCTGCAGAAAGCCAGATCCGTATGCCGAAAGGTGAGCGTAGGGATCCGGCGGAGTGAAGTGGGCAGATGGTCCTAGCATCTGATTCTGCACGTGGGAGTAACGATGGTCATACATTGATGGTGATGGAGACGGGGTATGATGCATCGGCGGGCCGACATAGCTCTGCTCTTGCTGATGCGCCGGAAACCACGAGTTGGCCACATGTGGTATTCCTGGGATGGCATTTTCTGAAGGGAAAGTTCCCAGAAAGTAAGAGCTGGTGTTGAACGGCGTAGACCGTGAATGAAGCTGAGGAGTAGAGCCAAATAGCGCAGCCGTATCTGGAGTGTTGAACCCATATTGCGAAGAGGCCATCGACTGGTGCGTCAAGTCCTGTGCAAGGGGCCATAGTTGGTACGTTGTAGGCGTCGTGTTCAAACTACTGCCTGCGTGATCACGGACAGGTAGAGAATTGCGGATCTGGTCGGTTGTCTGATGAGGGCGGTTCATATCATAGGCCATCTGAACGGCCGGGAGCGCCATCTGCTTCAGGGGCGGAGGCCTCGAGGCGTATTGAGCATGAGAACCATCGTAGCCAGCTTCAATAGTGCCATTCGGCGTCTTACGTCGCAACTGGTGTTCCGGTCCGTCAAGGAAATGCGACTGGCCTGCGGCTGTCGTACGGCGCTGAATCGGTTGATTTGGGTGTGAAGTCCGGATTGGAAAGGATCGTGGCGTCTTGCCGTCAGGGAAAACAGCGCTCGCCGAGCCGGCTGGCAGGCAGCGTAAGTTCTGATTGAAAGTATGCGTGCTGAAGTGAGGGAGTAGATGGTAATTATGCTGGTGCGGTAGGTAGTCTTCTGGCTGGTGGTGCTGCTGCTGGCGCTGCTGCTGTTGTGGCTGCTGGAAGGGCGGGAGGGGATCGAAGTTTGGCGCTTGTGGCACCGTATGGTGCATCTGAACTAGAGGCAACATGAGTTATGTGATGAAGACGACAAGGCGCTTCTGGTTATCATGAGGCGGAACGCGGAATGGGCGAGCTCAACACGAAGGAGGGTACTACGAGTTCCAGGCTGGATATATCGATCCGGGAACCAGTTGTCATTGCCTGCTGGCTAAAGCATGGCTGACAGGCCGGCTGACGGGCATGGCCTCTGGGACGCCTCGAGCGAACGGCTGTGCCAATGCCCGATAGCAATGCCACCTGCCCTGCGGCCTTGTCAAGCCTATGAGCCCGACTCTCTTGTGGTTCAAGTTCGACGAAGCGCGACGTAAGGTAATGTCGAGAGAAGATCGGGGGGGGGGGGGTTTATGCAGACGTTCGTCGTCAAGTCGTAAAGATGGCGCCAGGTTCGTCGGTCGAGGTGATGGGAGGCTGGGGGCCTACTGGAGGAACGGCAACGTTGGAAAGAGTCGACTTGACCGACGGGTACGGCGACAAATATCGCAGGAGGAGCGGTTGAGGCGGTTGATCGAGTGGTCCTCTGTTGACGAAAAGAAGAATGCGAAAGCAACGTGGAGTGCGGAACGAGACACAATGCGACTAGTGCGAAATCTGCAGCGGCAGTAATAGTAGTAGCAGTAACGGTAGCCTTAGCGGTAGCCGTGACGGGAGCGGGAATGACAGCTATAGCTTGCAGCCGTGGGCGTGGCTACAGGTTTGGTTGTGGTGGGAAGAGGCAATGTGATTCAGCCCGGTTTAGCCCAGTCGGGTGGTGGTGGTGGTAAGGTACGACAGCCGCTGGGAGACCCAGGAAGCGCAGATCAGGTCAGACAGATAAGGCGATCATCTAGACGGACCACATAGGGAGTCACAGGAGTGTATCCGTAGTAGTCGGTCAGACGTCGACGGTCGGGATATTGCAATGGATATCAGCCCGATTCAGTGAGTTGACCTGAACGCTGCCCTACGGCCTGAAATCAATCGATTCATCTCGATCTACTCGACAATCTACCAAAGAGTTCCCAGGTCCCCTCCCTGCTTATGACCTCCAGCCTGACGCGGAGGTACGTATCCTAGAGAGGACAGGACGGCAGCGTAAGGCGTCAGAAAAAAGGTCAGCGCACCACAGATACTGGACACACGAGTCTGCGCAGTATTGTGTACACTATGCGCGGACCATGGACATGGGGTGCCTGGATTGGTGGTTTGGCTATTCAAAGTCGGATGTCGTGACTGGGGTGGGTGTGGTGAGGAGTGTGATGAGGTGAGGTATCCGTACCTGGACGCAAGGTAAGTTAGGTGACGGGGCAGGGCGGGGTTCACAACTGGGGCGTGTTCCGTAGTGCCCAAGAGCGGTCAGACGAGGTGAGCAACGAAGGATAAGGTAAGGTATACAGGACAGGAGGCAGCGGCTGGCAGCGGCTCATGATTAAAGTGATCGAGACTGTTGTAACTTGTATCAGTAGCAATTCAAGACGGGAATGCCGCAACAAAACTTGGCAGGAAAGCACGGCCATTGAGGTGTGGGAGGACTGCTCAAGCAGGGAAGTTAATTACACCAGGCCCTCTCTATCCGTACTTGGGAAGGCTTTTGACAGAGTGCACACAGAGAGCGAGCGAACTTTCGTGTATGAAAGTAAATGCGGAGGCCGAAAGTCGCGGACAAGATACTCATTATGGGTTTGACGTAGAGTAATAGAATATCTACCAACGGCAAGCAAGCAAGTCCAAGTTCCAACACTGCCTACCTTAGCACAATAAGGTGAAGACACACCTTTATCAATCTTAAACGCCGGCCGGTGAGGTGACAAGCCTGGATCCATGCATTAGTGCCAAACACGTTGGTTTCGCTGCACTGCTTAAGACAATGCTAATTTTACCAACCATACCTACTTACGTGATGAATGCACTAGGTATACCGGATGAAATATTCCTCCTTCCTATTGTTCCTCGTCAACTCCTCATCTTGCACAAGAAGGCATTCCCGCCCTCGATTTGCGAATCTACCTTAATTACGCATAATTTAGATATTGCCGGAATCAATTCAGACTAGCTTGAGATACGTAGTACAGGTACACAAATGCGCGAACACAATTTACCGAATTCGGGGAGTACCTATGAGACCAGACCTATAACCGGTACTTGCAGTGGTCGCATTCTCTTTCCCGCCGCCGTGACTCTTCCCGAGCCATAACCAATGCCACAATCACGTCCTTGCCATGGCATACCCGGGAGTCCGAGTAGGAATCCGCACGCCAACTCGAGAACCTCAACATCACAACGAAGTGTGTCGCGGCCAGCAAGATCACTACGATATTTGGAAACTTTGTCATTTGGTCATTCGGCAATTCTTTTTTTCTTTGCCCAAGGTTGTCCCTTTTGGGTAGTCCCCTTAATGCAGAACCATTCCTAAACTCCAGAAGTCATGCGAGAGTGTCCGTCCAGCTATTGACCTCCTTTATTCCTCAGGGACTGTTGATTTTGTTAGCCGGGTACTCCAAACGCTTGTCATCACTTTCCGAATTGGGAACGCAATTGACGAGGACGGCCGGTACTTACTGTCAATCTCACCAGCATCGATAGCATCGGTGATGGCCTTGGGGCTCTTGCCGTCAACCTGGCATCCAACACTGTTTGCCGTTCCCAGAATCTCCTTAACACCGCCCTCCAACGACTTGGAGAATGACTTGTGGCGCATGGTTCTCGCAATCTCGATGATCTCCTCCAGAGGAACAGACTTGTTGTGCTTGATGTTCTTCTCCTTCTTGCGGTCGCGAGGGGGCTCCTTGAGGGCGCGGATGATGAGGGAAGAGGCAGTGGGGACAACGGAGACGGCGGCTTGACGGTTCTGGATAGTGAGCTTGACCGTCACGCGGAGGCCCTTCTATAAATCCAATCATGTCAGTGCTGTTCTTGCTCGCTTGCGGGGGTGTTGAAGCTCAAAATTGGAGGGATTGCCGTACCCAGTCGCCAGTTGCCTTCGCGATATCTTCACCAACTTTCTTGGGAGACAGACCGAGAGGACCGATCTTGGGGGCCAAGGCGGAGGAGGCACCAACCTCACCTCCGGTGGCCAGGAGGTGGCTATATTCGCGAACTATGTTAGTAAAAAAATTCCCTCCTCATCACGCAATGTTCAAGTTTGAGTGAAGGTGCAACGTACATGACCTTGACTTCGTTGGGATCGAATTTGGGAGCTGAGCAAAACGGTAATCGTTAGTTTTCTTGTCGTCGCTGATTAGGCCTCATGGCTGTCCGAAGGGGCACTTACGCATCGTGTCTGCTCTCGGGTCTGGGTCTGATGGGAAAGTTGGTGTCGGAAGATGGAGTTGAGGCCGAGTTGGACGGGGGAAAATGTTGATTAGTTCTGTGCGCCTTCTCGCAGCCCTAGGCAAAAAAGGCTAAGGGACTGCGCCACCTCTTCTGTGGCTGAGTGGAGAAAAATCGGTGCACAAAAGCCTGGCCAATGACTCTTTTTCGCGCTCCACTGTCCACGAAGGGTCTTTTTCGCCAAAGGAAGCCGCAACTGTCACGTGGTTTGTCCGCACCTCCAAGTGATGCACACCTGGGAGGTGCCTGCCCGCCTTTTGTACCTTATCTTATCTCTCGATCAGTCCTCATAAGACCGCGCCACACTAAGTACCTAGCCTAGCCACAAGTCAGAAAGGCAAGTTTGCCGAAGTACGGAGGTACAGCGGATGTTGTGCTGCATGTACAGTACCGTACCACCGTACCTACCTTACCCTCCGCTTCTCCCACTCCGTAATCATCTTGGTGGGGGCGGGGTCCTTCACCTGTATCCCCACTCCATCGCGCTTTACATGTGCCAGGTCAGAGTGTCGGGTGAGTCTCTCCAAATACCTCAACTTAGACATAAATTCAACGACGCTGGCTTTACATACTTAAAAATTGATCGACCTTGGGCATTGAAATCCAGCACGATTCACAAAGGGCAACATTCATTCTCCACGTTATTGAAGTTAAGCACACAATTCTTCAATTCATTGGCATTTGTCTTCGTAATTACGGCAAAGTCAGAAGTGTTATATGCCATATATGCCGGCAACAACATCCCGACTCCGAATTCGCGCTTATGCCCTTTCGTCCCCCATTCCGTGGATTTCTTGTCTCTTGGCATGACCAAGACGACCACCACGTCGTTACTGAGACCACTGTCCTCCCTCAGCCCATGACGATACATCACTCCATCATCTAGTTTGTACCGCTTACTGCCAGCCTGAAATCCATCGTTAGCAAGTCCATTAGGCTAGGATAAATATCGAATGCTTTCTTACTTCATGAGATGGTCCATAAAGGTTTGCAGAGACACGTCATCGGTGAAGATAGTCTGGGCGTTTTGCGCCCCCACGCCGCCATAAGCTCCGGTAGTATGGGTGGTCGACGGGTTGAGCTTAGAGAGAAGGAATCTGGCTTGCGAACCCCCAGCATCACAAACAATGAATCGAGGAAGCGGGAATCTGTCGGTGATGAGATCCTACCGAGCGTTAGTTGACATGCTGACAATTTTGAAAAAGGAACAGAGCTTACTTTTGCGTCTTCCTTGGGCTGCTCGAGCAGAGACGCAAAGTTCTCATAGCCCTCTTGGTCCTGGTATCCCGCCTTGCGCCACTCGGCGACCGTCTCACCGTGGAAAATGAGAATGTGGAAGAAAGTGTCGAGAAGAAGGATATGGGTGGGCTGAATGGAAGTGGAGTCCAGCAACACAGGTTGGCCACCCTCTTGATCGAACGTGTACGAGTCTAACGTGGGCTGGATCATGATGAGCGAGTTGCTTACGTCCTCATGGTTAAGAACATGGCGATAGAAGGCTGTCTCGTCAGGGGAGTTATTGAAGACCTGCAGGAATTGACTTCTTCGGAGATGGAACATGAACTGCGGATACAGTGTGAAGTTCTTCTCGAGCCGGAAGGAAGATGGGTCATCTTTCCGGTAGTCTGCAAAGCGGGAGCAGAGCCTGATAAGCATCCTGTCAACCCATCGCAAGACATCCGGACCGTCATCGACTTCGGCCTTAAACACTGCAATGCGGGACATGAGGACAGCAGCAGCTTCCTGGTCGAACGATTGTGCGATGGCTGGATCGCCAGCTGGGCCACTAAGGTTTCTGGCGATTGTTGTAACCCTCAGGTGGAATTGGCCGGACGAGTGTTGGTAGTAGGTAAGGAATTGGATCATGCCCTTCTGTGGCGTTTGCTGATGCTGCGTGGGGCCTCCCTGACTTGCGATCTCGAAGTATACGCCGTAACTCGCGTTCGGGTCAATGCCGCACATCTTCCATGAGCATGTGTTGCCTATGCCACATTCCGTCTCTCCAACCGATGTCGATTTCTTGTTGAGTGAAATGGCATGGCCTATCAGTCCAGTGACCTTCAATTCCTTGGTGGTGAGTACTTCGAGCGTAGCATTGAAGCCCATGAGCAAGTTGTCGTCGCCATCCTTTTCGAACACGCGAATGAACGATTGCCTGAACATAGAGGAGGTGAAGCTGTCTGTTAGAATCATGTGGCCACCGGTGGAGTTACAGAGGCCCTTCATCTCCAAGAGACCGACTTGATCAAGACAACCCGCAAATATGTCAATGATGTGACCGTTATGGGCGGTCCTCTTGGCCAGGATATCATAGAACTAGAGACTAGCGTTAGCTTTTTCGCGCAAGGGAAACCTCATCTAAGTACCAACCTTGAGTGCCTTCTTGTAGTACTTGATGTTGTCACGGTCAATGTCGTGATGCGATCGGATGGGCTCTCTCAGCTCAGGGCCAACTACCATGCCGGGTCCCTCTGTTGCCGGCCCACCAGCGAAAAGCATGATGCGGCCACCAGCGTGCTGGAATGAGGACTCAAGTAGTCCTACAGCGACGCTAAGAGCGACGCCAGAACAGCGCAGACTCCTGCGATCGTTGGCTACAGGCCATGGATCCTTCTGTAGCTGCTCCAAAGCTTTTGTCAACTGGAACTCGGCCTGCTGGACGGGCAGCAGAAATCTCGACGCAGGGCCGGCGGGCATAGGCCTTCCGGGCTGTTGCTGGGGTATGCCAGGTCGCATTGCTGGTGAGAGCAAGCCGAGCATCTCCTGCACCTGCTTCGCAGAGTAATCCTTGCTACCACGGAACACATACGATTTCGCGCATTCAGTGTAGCCGATTTCGTGTACTTGGGCCTTGGGAAGTAAGTGGTCAGCAAAGAGATGAAGCGGTGGTGGACCCTGCACTTACCATTGTGCCATATGTGATTAAACCAACGAGTGCATTCTCGGGTAGCAGACTAAGGCTCATGACCAATGACTCCTTGAGCGCAGCCAAGCTGTCATCCTCTTGGCAGGTATCAACAACATAGAGGAAGATGGGAGGGCTTGGCGCCGGCCGTGAGAGACGGTACTCAATCGTCGTGTTGGAAGGGTGAAGTTCGGGGGGGATCGCATTGGCGGTTATATCTTTGTAATGAGGTGGGAGAGGGTTCCGCGACAGGCAGAACGGGCAAATCCAGAGGCGAGCTCTAACATCCACGGAACTGGCCCAGGTTAGACTCATAGATCTTGATAACTCAGCTCGCTTTACTCACCAGAAAGGGTTGAGAACGGAGCGGCAAGGTTGCTTGCAAGTCACCGGTTCGAATTGAAGGAGTGGTGTGTCGGGCTTCTCTTTAAGAGGAGTGTAGTTGGCCCCAATCGGCACGACCAAGCGCGATGCTTCCTGCATAAGCACGTGTCAGAGGGTGCAGAGAGATACTATACCGAGCGCAACTGACCATACGAGAGCTGGGAAACACGTTCCAACTCAGGCGAACGCCATCGCGGTCCTCGACCTCGCTCCATTGCTCCTTGAGAGCTTCGTAATCCATCGTTGTGTGAGTGCTCTGCTGCGATCGAAAGTTGGGCAATGCGACTTTGTCGTGTATCTTTGGAGGTATGGTCAGCGGCGGGTATGTATGGGGGAACAATGGTGCATTTAATTCATACCTAACTTGCCAGCAAAATATTTGCGCGTGCCGCGAGGGTTGTTGTGTTCGGTAGAGGACACGACGGAGATAGTAGCTTGGTATGGCCACGGTCCAATTAACAAACGACGACGACTCTGAGCTGCGGCCTCCTACCAGTGGAGGAAAGGTGGCAGGAACGAGCTGTGGTGGAGACAGACTACCTACCTACCTGCCAGTGACCTACCGATACCAGCTCTGTGAGGTGGGTCTCTAGCGCGCGCCTGCGGCTACGCAGCGGAGACCGTGCTCGAGCACAATCAGGCGCCCGCTTATTTAGATTTAATGCCTGCCCGGGAGTGGGTGGGTCTAGAACAGTGTAAAGGCATAGTGAAACTAATACATCAATCTAGTATTACTCATCTTCTATAGGGCACAGGGATAAAACTAAAGACAAAAATTTGAGAAAAAGAAGTTTTTGTATTTATTTTATAATAAATTTATTAAGTTTAAAATTATTTTTAACATAACGTGGTTCATCAGTCAGCCGGCCGGACTAGTCAGCCGGACGTTTTTTCCCACGTCCACAACAACATCTAGTATTTCTCAACCACAACGCATTAAATCAATTATTGGTTGCCGCTATCAGAATCTCCTGATGATTCGACATCTTTGGAACAGGTTCGTGCATTATGCCCAGTCTTACTACACGCACCACAGCGTCTCCGAGTCGGCTGTGCTCTCTTTGATGGACCCCGCTCCTTATCCTCTCGAGGTGCTGGACGTTTACCTTTTTGTTTCTTTTCCAGCAAACCCTAAGATTCCTCTATACTAAGTGCCCCTCCAAGCTACATACGCGACCTTTTAGCCCTCCGACGCTTAGCAAGTGCTACATTCGCATCCTCAAGGGTACGAAGCCGATCAGTCAAAATAGTGATTAAGTGCGCCATTACCTGCGCACCCTTTGATAATTGCTTAACTGCAGCAATAATTGGTGTCGGTGAGCTTCCTTATGAGCAGAGATCCGGCTTTTGATAAAGTTAGACTGCGAGACGGCTTGTTGTGGGTTAGAGGGCGTTTGCGACTGCCAAGGTGGTGGTGTTGAAGGGTTGGCCATAGGAGGTGTAGGCGTCCGTAAATGCACATCAAGCTTTTTGATGATATACTCTGGGTCCTATGGTGAAATTCCAGCGCCTTGGAAAGCAGACCTGATGTTTTCCTCATTAAAAACCTTGTTGTGGGCCTGGTGGAAGGCAATAAAGAACTCAGACTTGGTAATGTGATTTATGGAGGCTCTAATAAATAGGTTGATTTTATCACCGTATGCGCGTTTTAAAGGCGAGTAAAGCGCAATATCTAATGGCTGTAATAGATGCGACGAATTTGCAGGCATACTGACCGTTACAATATTGTTCTGCTTGCAGTAATCGTCGAATTCGGCCGATAAATGGCTCTCATGGCCGTCGATAATGAGCATCCGGTAGACGCCCTTAGTTCGGTTCTTAGTATATTTGTCGAAGTGTTTAATCCAGTTAA